AATAAGAACGACGAAGGTTTCAGACCTGAGCCATACCTACAGACATTTGACCTTGCGAATGATCGCGCAAAAGGGCGACAGGCACTCACCCGCAACAATGCGACGGAGCCCAATGTCGCCCCTGATGGACGCCAAATCAAGGAGCCTACAGTTACGCATATCCAAGTCAGCCATGACGGAGAATGGCTTGCGACGATTGATGAAGTAAGTTCTGACTATCTGAGATGCATGTAAGACATACACTGACTTTGTGCCTATTGCAGTGGGTACCGTCACAACTGGACACTCGTTATGTGAATGAAGGTATTCCAGAGTTCAATGAACAGGAACGCCTGCGCCGCCGCGAGGTGTATCTCAAGGTCTGGCGACGCGACAAAAGTAGCGCGCAATGGAAGTTGGAAACACGCATTGACGCACCACACTTCTTCGAAGACGTATGTGGTAATGGGCGAGTATTCCATCTTGTCGCTGATCCGGCTGCTGCGGGCTTCGCAACTGTCGGCGAAGATCACGTCGTACGGATATGGAGACCTAAGACACGATCACGCGATGGAGTCATCGTTCGTGGGGCCCAACAGGAAGGTCTGGTCACCTGGTCGCTCGACCGGTCAATTGAAATCAACGACAAGCTCGACATCACCGAAGGTTCACAGCGGACCTTACCGCCGCGCACTTCACGATTGGCCTTTTCATCCGATGGTTCGGTCCTTGCTGCTTCAATCTCTTGGGATTTGGAAGAAGACGCCGGTGTCACACATCTGATCGATGTTCAATCTGCAACAGTTCGACGATCGCTCACTGAGATCGATGTAACGGCCCTCTCTGGACTCGGTTTCGTCGGGCAATATCTTATAGTGGTTGCTGATGCCATCACCGTCTGGGATATGGTCTCTGACGGGCTCGCATACAGCATACCAATCGATACTCCTGGCATCGGACGCCTAGAGCGCGCACCGCTCGTTCGACTAGCTTGCAACAGCACTGACGATACATTCGCTGTGTCACTACCTCGGTTCGAGAAGAACGAATCCACACCTACCCCCACTAAGAAGGTTTCGTCCAGGATGTTTATATACGGACCAGAGCATCAGAAGCCCATTTGGAAAGACACATATTCTAGTATTACGATGGGTCTTGCATCTCAGAAAAGCGGTTACGTTGTTCTTGACTCAAAGGCGTACTTCAGGACCATCACCCCAAGTGCTGGGTCGTTGCAGCTGCTGACTCCTCCACCAGAGGAGCAACTCGAAATGCATCACATCTCCTACCCTGAGGATAGCGAGGAAGACGACTCTGGCAGGCCTTTGGCGAAACTGTTGGTTTCCGATGATCTCACTCAAGATATTGAGCGTGACGAGCAAGTCTTCAGCATGCAGGATTTGCAGAACGTGCTGCATGACGGTTCTGTCCCTCCCCCACCGCAGGGTTTGTTTAGTAATATTTTGGCGCTCATTGGGAAGCCGCAAACGGCATCAGCATAGGGGGCTGCCGTCGTGTAATATAGTTTTGACAGAATACTACGACATGGAGATATTTTACTTGAACTGGCTGTATAAGGTGACACTCGAGATGATGCTAGACACCTAGTGTGAGGCACGTAAGTTATCGGGTAGGCGCATGAAGAACTATGCTACCAAACAAGAAGAATAGGACAATGGCAGCAAACTTCAACCACGCTTCTTCGCTTTGTACAATGTCGGCTCTATCATCTCTACACATCAATCTCATTCAAAAATCAGAGGCTCATATGAACGGACATGACTGCTTCTGTGCTCACCTAACGAACATACAGCAACGTTGTGAGCCATACGATTTGACTCGTATTGCCTAGCCTCTCTCTGTCACACAAAAAAAAGCGTTTCCAGCAAAATGAAGCTTTGCAAACTTCAAAAATGTGAACGTTTGCCCGTTCACGGAATCGAACCGTGGATCTTCGCATATCGAACATATGCTGCGTTACGAGTGCGACGCAGTACCACTGTGCTAAACGGGCAATTTGGATGGTAAAATCTGAAATTGAATGATTTATAATAGCAAACAAGTAACAAAAGAATCAACACCGTGGTAATGGTCACATTGGTGGTGGACGATGTTCTGGTGGGGTCAGATACCGTTGAGCCGAGATCTGTGGATGGACTCGCTACCCATGCTGGTCTTGGTATGGCGTGTCGAATGCCACAACACGAGCTACAAATGACCGCGAACGGCAGGAACAACTCGCTAGAATACAGAAAACATGTCGCTAACCCTGACAAAATGGGATGCATGTAGTGACTAGTGCGCTGTCTCAGAGTAACATACAGTCGCGTATTCTCGCATTTAGATATTTGAGAAATATCTTCATGTACACTTTACAGGTTCCTCCCCAAGGGTAAGGTCCTTCTTTGCTGACTCGTCTTGTCCGCATCTAAGGAGGGTAGATGATGTACTCGCTTTCTTCGTAAGCGCGTTGGTAGATTGGTACTAACAATCTGATAACGGCATGTGCTTCCACCAGATACACAAACCAACTAGATGCACTAACGTGGAAGCATTGCATATGCCATCAGCGGAATGGCTCCTTGGCTGGTGATCACGACGCAAAGACAGGCTCGATCCTTGCTCTCTACGTTTTCTTCCGTGCGGGTTACTCTTGAGTGGTTTCCTGTTGAACCCAGGAATAAGCTGACCAGCATAGGAGATGGGGATTCATGGAGCACGAGTTTACAGTCCTCTACGCTCTTCGCGCATCGTCAACAATTTCTCGGTTGCGAGCCTTTGACTAGTATTGATCATCCTAGAATTGGACCATCCATCACAAATACTGGTTGGCGTTGTCTTACAAAGGCGGAGGTGTGAGCCAGTAGCGTGCGCTCAAACTTGGGTTCGGGTTGACAGCAGATAGACTTCCTGACTTCCCGATCTGTCAGCCGGAAACCTGAAGCCTTTTCATGGCGTCTCGCATCTTCATTGGCAAATGCCTCCCGTAGATATTTGTTCCGCTGATGCGATTATGATTGAGCTGCTCTAGGTGTGCGCTCTTCGTACGATTGCTGTGTCATATAGATACCGCTGAGACTTACGTGAGTGTTGAAATATCGGTAGGTGTGTATGAGTTGGTAACCAATAGTTGTAGAGGTCGTGCTTAGTGATGCATGGAGCAGCGCAGCTATCCGCTTAGAAACATGGCCTGGACCCGAATTGATATCCGGACAGACCGTCGACTGGAAAGAATCCATAGCAGGAGTCGGAATGCAATAGAGAATGCATATCATTTTTGGATTGAAGAAATGCTTTCGTTGGCGGCAGACGTGGCTAGTTGCGGGTTGAGCGATTTGATGGCTTAGAGAGTATCCTACTAGAGATTCGCTTGCGTGATTTTACTTGGAGACGGGGGTTGGTCGCTCGCTTGAAGATCCTCACTTGGTTGTTAGAATATGCCGCAATCTGATGAAATACCTAAAGCGGTAACGCTATGGCGAAGACTGGAACCGACGTTAGACTGAACGTGGTGAAGAGGACGTGAGGTGGGCGGAGCAAACGCTGACCCACTCGCCGCATGCCAGCAAAGAAGCGATGCGCGTGCGGCGGGCACAATAGCGCATCTCGGTGTAGAGCTGTTGACGCGGGGTTCTGGTGTTCGTAAACATGTGGTGGCTCAGGCTTCCAAGGACCGCATCGTGCACTTGGCATAGTCGACTCATACTTGGTCAGAAAGCGACGTGAAGTCGCATCGCAGCATTGCGTTGCTATGGTGCCGCAGCATGCATATATGCGAGTTCTTGGATTTGGCGGTTAGCGGTCTCCTGATCAGCCTCGTACAGCTTCAGCGGTGAAGTCAGGCCAACGGATACGTGTCGAAGCGAGTCGTACGGTTAGACTGGACCCATGCGAGCCGCACTACTCAATGGCACAAAAGGGCTGTGCGCATGGAGATGAGAGACTCGGTAATCGCAATCCGGTATACGAAGCGACGGCTGAAAGCGCCACAAGCTGTGCTTTCCTCTTTCGGGATCGTTCGTCCTGGAAGCACGCCCTCGCCGGAGCCGGTGTAGTGGGAAAGGGCGGAGCGGAGACGGATGGTACGGACGCACTGTTCACCGTTTTTTTGTTTGTGCCTGATACTTGACGCACAGATGCCAAAAGCTCAGGACATTGGACAGTCGGGCTGTAGAAGCGCAAAAGTAATGAATTGAAGACGATGACGAGTGCGCAAATAGCCTAATCGCAGGCTGTCTGCTACTGAGCACGCGGTTGCGAAGAAAGCGCATGATCGTGTCATCAAATTACACTGGTTCATGCAGGGTCGTTAGCGGGTTTGTCAGAAGGTATTTTTCAGCATCAATGACAAAGCCAGCCCGCGTACCAATGGCAGCTGGGGTGCAGACGGGGGTTAGTAATTCTGTAATTGTGAGGTCGGGACAAATGACAGTGTCGGAGCCCAGGCGTGATTGGTGCCTTGTCTTTGATGATGATGTGCTTGGGCGCGGGGGTGAGAGTGAGTGGCAGGTCCGCGTGGCCTAGATGGTGGCTTTTGACGATGCGGACGAAAGACGTGAGGATAGCCAAACGCCGATGTGCTAGGCAGCCGCGAAACCAAGGTTGCAGCACATCGGCCGAGGCGAGGACTATGTAGGAAAACGCAAACAATTCGCAGTAAGCCTAACGGTGATTTTGTCGCGCGGAGGGATTGTGCAGCGTCGGGCCCGACAGGGTTGCGCGCGCTGTCAAGGTGCAACAGAGGCGCCTTGGGCGAGAGGGTGACGGGGCCACGTTTGACAGCCACAGATTCAGGGCTGACCGCTCTGCTTGTACAGAGGTCCGTGGCTTAGCCCTTACGACAGCGCATCCTAGCAGCGCAGGCAGCCAGACAGGCAGCCAGACAGGCTCAATCAGCCCAAGCAGTCAGTGCAAAGAAAAAAGGAAAACCCTGATGGCGCGATGTGGGAGCGATATGTGTGATGCAATTCATCGTGAATTAGTAAACGCCGACAAACAGCGAGATGCCGATTAGGCTAGCCATGTGCAGAGCATGTGCTGGGCAGACTGTATATCCGCGCAACGTCCGGTGTCCGCTTCGTAACGCCCGTATGTGCATGCGGGCGAAAGTCTCTACGACCGACCGGGCTGTCTCGTAAGCCGCGCTAGCACCCCTGCAGTCGTGTGAATCATAGTGTGTTAGCTCACCGCATCCGTCCCTGCTCGGCCAAGAGCGGTGGAAACATGCCAATAATTCCGAGAACCCGTTATCCATCCTCTATGCGTCAGGGAAACATAAGAAACACGCGTGCCCTCGCTTCAGATTCCATCACCAGCCCAAACACCAGTCCACAACATCACAGCGAATAACAGACTACCCCAGACTCCGACTTGCCCATCATCGCCGCTACCACAAACCATCAATTACATCACACCTTCCCGGCTTCTACCCACGCTCGGATCACCTTCCCTCGATTGGCCGCTGCTTTAAGGTAGGTTTGCACCCGGGTCTCTCCAAGTCATAAACCAAACTGACTCACATTTTTTAGCCTCTCACCACAGACTACTGCCTTATACATAACAAACATCATGCCTTCCTCATCGCATCTCCGCATACAAACCTCCTTCGAGCCCTTCACCGCCGAGACCACCCGCTCCCACTTTGTCTCTTCACCACCGCAAAAGAAGCAGAAGATGTCTCTCACCCAAACCTACTACATTGCTGCCTCCGCCCGCTCCAAGCTCGGCAAAGAGGCATGCAGGGCCGACCACGACCTCCGCCTTCTCGTTGGACACGCAAACCTCCTCGACAGCCTCATGGTCGAGCTCCAAGACGCCGAACGCCAGCAAGAACAATGGTTCAACCAGACCATGGCCAAGGCCTCCAAGTCCGAAGAGCCCCGCCACATTCAATGGGCCGACAGCATTGCTGAGGAGGAAGACGACGACGACGAGTCCGACTCGGACTCTGAGAACGAAGACGACTTTGACATGATCCCCCTGCCTCGCCGCATCGCTCAGTCACCAGTTCAGATCAGCACAATGGAGGTCGATGACGACGAGGATGAGGACGAATTCTACGACGACATGGAGGACGACTCGGAGCTCGCTCTTACTCGAGTGCCATCGCAACTACAATCACCACCCGAGCTCACCTACGAAGAAGAGTCCGATGACGAGTCACCACCTACATCTCCCCCACAAGCGTCTTTCAACTTCTCCGACAAGGAGGCCATGCTTACAACAACCTTCTACGACGCAAAGCCAGCCTCGCAAGACATCGAGGATCATCCGCTGTTCATGGATACCACCGCCCCGCTCATCTCAAGTTATTAGGCCAGCACATTCAATGTGTTCTGACCTTTTGATTTTTGATCTAGCATTTTCAGCGAGCGTGTCCTTTACAGCATAGCGTGGCATTTGAGCATTATATCCTTTGGTTTTATTTTATTGGCATATACCGCAGGGGCGGTTGGGATCTTCACGAAGATATCAGGAAGCTACTCTACTCTGAAATGTTGCATGGATATGGGATAGGAGGATTTGGGACATTGGTCGCGAGCGGTTCGAAGTCTCCCGAAGGCGATGGTCGAGACTCCCGCCTATAGCTAGATTTTCAATGATGATCATTACACCCACAAAAAACAATCTCCACACTCTCTTCAGGTGATGCTCTACTATCGCTGTACTCTGCATGCTAATCACATCCTATCGGGTCACAGGCAAACTTGCCATGCATGACTGATGAACTGTCACCAGCACATAGTACAAAAACCCCACGCATTACAGTTGTCTGCCAATATGCGCAGTCACACATGTGTTACTGGGAAATTCTAGGGTTGACCGACTTTTGGCCAGTGCGTCAGACCCTGGCCCTCGCATGCCTCCCGCATAGGGCGGGCACCTCGCGTCGCGGCCACGGCTGCTTTTCGCCGAGCGAGCCTCTCGCATGGCGGAGCGACGCTTTCGCATCGCCTTCGCAACGCCTGCCTGATGAAAGTACACTTCCGGTCAATCAACGTCGTATCCCCGCATACAGAAAGAAGGCGATGCGAACTTGATTGCGTACACTGACCACACTGCCCCACGCACCGTCAATCCTCCAAGAACTTCTGCCTTGGAAGAAACGGCCTATGCAAAGCATGCCACACACGCAGCCGGCTCAACTCGGCCTTTGTTCGTGTCCTTGTCCGAAAAGTATGCGTATACGTATGCGGGTGGGAGGTTCGGAGTTTGGACGTGCCCGATCGGACACAACAGGAGCTCGCAGTACGGACGGTCACGTTTTGTTCCGCTCGGTCGAAACGCGGGCATGTGAGCCAGACCATGGAGCGGATCATCAGGGAGCCATGATCCGTCTCACGCGGATACGCATTATCCACTCACACTCACATTTCGATGCACTTGACAGCTGTCTTGATGAGCGGACCATGGTATCTCGTCGCAGAACCCACTTGTCGAGACCTTCTGGACCCTCGCAAGATTTGATCTGAGCATGGTCTCCCGTCTCCACACTGTCACAAGTTGTAGGCGGAAGTTACAGCGCTGATCTCTCCTTTTCCCCACGCTCCACCCACCGTGTCGCGGCGATACCGGGGCTGACCGGTTGTCTCGAAACATCAGCATGGCATTTGAAATGATCAAATCTCAGGTCAAAGTCGGTATCAAATATCGACACAAAATATATCTATGCGCAACATCTTCGAGTTTCATCATGTTTCGATTTGTTTGGTCAACGAAACGATTCAGATTCAGAGTATTCGTACAACCATCGACGATTTGCTTTTGCTACACATGTCCGTTGGCGGCCTCAGTTTAGTCCGGCATGCAATGCTGCGCTGTGGTTCGCGAGTCTTGGTGAGACATGTGCGAATCTAACTCGCGCGTAGCTCGCTCTAAGCAATCCGCTCACATGAAGCAAGACCCTGCTTCTCAAGTTTGGAGCATGTTGCCATAACGTGTCATGGTGATTATTGCTGAGCTGGCATGCCAACTCAGCTGCTTGTTTATTTCTGTGCCGCGTCTTCCCTGGCAACGCCTCATGTCTGTCTGTTCCTGATCCTTTATTGCCAATCAAGGAATTTGGTGCTCAAACAGGGAAATAGGGCGCGCCTCAGGCAACCCCGATCTGACGATCAGATCATCTACGCCAACATGATCCGCGCATGCACGTCCTGGGTGCTGCTCGATAAACACCATATTGTCACTAAAACTTACCCAAACACATATAATCAATGCCTATTGCTGATGTCATTCGTCTGTAATCAGATTCCGCGATAAACACTTCTCATCCAGCTCGCGCCGATACAGGTATGGGCCGCCTAGGAAGCCGGCCTACGAGAACACGGAATGATCGTTGATACCTTGCCAATAAGAACGGACTATGATTTGTTGTTGATCATCTGGGGCGGAGCGGACATAGTAGACGGTGATAAGATAAGCATAATCGAGCCACATCATCAGCCACGTGCATACAGTAGTTGTGACCAGCTATGGTCATCTCCTCATTTTCCCCTCCCCCTGGAACTTGCGATAACCGTTCCTTCCCTTCCGAGGTCGTTTGCATCATCAGCAATGTTCACTGATCGAGGTCTGGACTTGCCGGCTTCGATAAGCTGGTTCACATGATGATGCCGTCAACGGTCAGGGCGGGAACCAGGGTCTATGACACGTTCGCTGTCAAGCCGGATTCCTCGGACTCGGACACGCCTTCCTCGCGCGCCGGGAGCGGAATCTTGTCCTTCCAGTCCAGGAGATCTACGACCTTACCAAGATCGGTAGGTTTCATGTCGATCGCTTGATCAACGGCTTCCGCGGATTGCCAAGCACTCCCTTTTCACTATACGGTGTTCCGCATCATTAATTCAAGTTGCCAGCTTCCTTCGACACAACAACGAGATCTTGAAACCCGACACGCAACCGTCAGGTTGTTGTGTCGGCCGACGCCTCCAAAAGCAGCAAGCTCAAAACTGATTGTGCATACGGATCCGCTCAGAACCTCGCGCCGACCCGCACCGAGGCAGCACATGTTGTGCAGGAAACTTCTAGCACGGAAGAAAGGAGCCCTGAAGTCGTTCGAGCAAAGCAGCGAAAATTTGACGGAAGAGAACTTCTAGAGCGTACCATTTGCACCAGCTGGGTAGATCCTAGTCCGACGTATCTCCTTACACAACCACGTTTTCTGTCAGTTTTCCTACGGAGAATTTTCCGCCTAGTATGCCCGGCCCACCAACAGCCAGGAAGTTTGTACACAAAAACATGGAGAAAAAGTTTTTTTCCGTTTACTAGCAGGAATTTCGCATTTGGCGCAGGTATCACACCATGGTCAGGACTAGCGTGCGTGGCTGGGGGCGGCAGTACCTGTCGATGAGACCTCGGGAAGCTGATCCCTCGTATCAGCTTCGCCCGAGCCTCGGGTGTTACAAACCGCACTATCGTGAGCTTTGTGTGTTGGTGTTGAGGCGCGTGCATGCCATGATGTGGAGTCTGCGGTAACATGTGTCCGCAAAGTAGTCTGCGCACACACCGCTTGGTAAGATTTCGATATGCAGCCGAATCTTCCTTTGTTGCTGTAAAGCGGCGTGATAGCATGGGTCCCATTGAAGATTCCTTCCAGTCGCTTATTCACCCATTCGTATCCTTCTCGAATAGTCGGTAGTACACAAGGCTTCGGCTTTCCCCGAAGACTACCTACTGCTGCGCCTAGACCAGGTCAAAGTAAGGCGTTGGTCATGGCAGAGGAGTGACCGCCCATGTACGGTAAACACCTTTCTCAGGAGACATGCCCGAGCTGAAAAGCAAGCATGGGTGTTGTCTGCTTAGAGGGCAGTCAATCAAGCAGCTTTTGGAGTAAAAGACGCCAAAAGTCATTCTTCTCATCTTTAATTGAGGCCGATCGTGTAGACCTAGAAAGGTGTCCAGTATCGAAGACGCCATGAGGAAGGGCCAAAGAAAGCTGCACAAAGAAACCCAACTTCGGCCTATTCTAACACCTCTCCCAATCCGATAGCTGTAAGACGGAGCCTCGTTATTAGACTTTGCCCCAAGACTCTCTGTTCCAAACAGTCTATTGACGTCTTTTGAAGCTACTGCAAACGATCCACCAGTGATCTCAGCACCTGATCAGCCAGCACACCGGATTGTCAGACGTACTGAGTATCTTAGGCATCACTCTAGCAAGTACTAGCAATGACTCAAGAGCAGACCGACACCCATATAAGATAGGCTTAGGTCGACTCGTTGCTAGTAAGGGATCGTTCTCTTTGTAAGAGTTTGTAAAATGCGTGCCAATAACGTGATCGTTCCAACTTTGCATATCATCCGACACGGGATCAAGATCAAACCAGCACTTCTTAGAACTAGAGCATACCACTCTCTTAAACAGCGTCTCTTTGTCTTGGATTTATGTGTGAATGGCATCGCTTCAAGTTGACTAACCATCTGCGTAACTGTTACTCTGCTCCAGCTCTGAATCACGACCGTCTTTATTTATTTTGCCCAAATTTTTGCTCAAGATTCTCGACACCTTACTACCAACCCTTTCTGGGTTACCTTCATCCTCTTCCTCTTCCTCTTGATCTTCCCAGGCTCACCGGTATTTTCATCGTCATAGTACTGATCATTATTTCTTCGCGGGCAAGAAACCAACCATCTCCCTTTTTTCTCGGTAAGGGGTTCTGTATCCCACTCGGACCTCGCATATCCGTTGCCCAAGAACCGTAGGTCTATCTCACAGGTCTTCTGTTCCAACAGTATGACAATAAATACATTGTAGGCTTGCGTAGTGTGATCTCATCAAGGCGTCATGGGAGTTACTTTCCGTCAAAACACTCCGCGTCCAGCCTCGCCAGCCACAAGTTAGAACCGGGTCAATAGACGTCCGCAACCTTTGTACCCAACTACGTGGGCAGTATCGAACGACTCGGTCACAGGAACGTCGGAAATCTTGTTGGACAATAGTTTCGTGCGCTTCTTCGTCGTTGCCCTAGGTTTTATCTTATTATTTAGGTATCCTATTACGAGTTTCTCTCTCTTCAACTTACCAGCGTACTTTCTTACTTTCTTTCTTCTATATAAATAAGAGGACTCTCCTTGTACATGGAACATAAATAAATTAACCCTTCTTTCTGTTCTATACATCTCTTGCATGCCTTTCCGCTCGACACGAGAACTAGGATGTTATGCAACTTTGAACCGTACTTGAGGTGCTTGTGGCCGACGTAGAGGCCTGTATTTGTGTGTATTGAGGACTCCATATTATGAAATTCCAATCCGAAGCGTACGGACAAGACATAAACTAAATAGCAGCAGCATTCATGAAAAAGTTACATGTACTAAACAAAAGTCGATTCTAGCAACACGTTCCTAGGATCTACTAATGACATCGTAATCTCCCTGTAGCAATACAGATAAACTCACTGCTCAGCCCCATCTTCCTTAAAACGTGATTTAACCAGCAAATGTTTGTGAGAAACCCTCACCCTCTTTTTGCGTAGTGGTCTCACTAGTCTTCCTCTCCTCAGTGGGGGCACTGATGGGCTTGTCTTCTGTTTGCTTCTGGTCCAAAGAGGCATCCTTGACGTTATCCTCGTTGTTTATATTTGAACCGGATTCAGGGAATGCGCCAGGGGCATCTGAGGAACCGGGTACAGTCTCAGCTACCAAGGGTTCTTCTGGTTGAAGTGCAGATGAAATCTTAGAAGTAACGGATGACAGGGTTTCCGACACTTGAGAAGCCGCCTGTTCAAGGGTTGATGGCGCCTTCTCGACTGTCTCAAGCTCAGGGCCAGGTTCGCTACCATCTTTTGATGTAATCTGTGTGAGCTGTGGTTCTTCCGACTCCGCTGAAACGGGTTGGTCCACTTCACCCTCAGTAATTGCTGGTTCATCCGTCTTGTTCGAAGCACTGAGTGACTGCTGTATCTGAGCCGCCATTTTTGCAGCGGGCACATCGAGACTACCATCTTCTCCGAACGTCCAAATAGCGGTAACAGGACCGAAGCTAAGCGACTGCCTCGGGACAGCGACTTCAGCAGTAATGGTAGCAGCTGCAGCTGGTGACGGAGATGCAGCAGGTTTCCTTCTTTGCGGGCCCTTAGCTCTACCCTTGCGAGCATCCGGAAGTGGTGCCGTCTCCTTCTCTGCTTCTTCTTCCTCTTCGGGTTCCTTGACCTTAGGTGGTGCGTGAGGACCAAGACCAAGTTTGCTGTTGAGGTCCTTCAGGAAGCCAGCTTGGAGAGCTGCAATCTTTGAGCCAGCGGGCCGGGCGGGGACGGGAGGCTTCGCCTTCGGCTGAGAAGCATTGTTCTCGCCTGCCTGTGACTCAACAGTTGGTACTTTCTCCGAAGAGCCGGTAGATGGCTTGCCTGGGCGAGCAGGAATCTGCGGCTTCGGACGGTCTGGAATGATGGGCGCTTTCTTGTCGTCCCCAGAAGCCTCTCTCTTAGCTGGTCGGGCTGGAACACTAGGACGAGCCGGCACCTGTGGCTTTTGATCAATTGGCGAGTCTTCGGCATACTCATTCGAATCCTCCATCTGTGGTGTGCTGACTGTGGTTTCAAGATAGTTGTGAGACGGCGCATCTTCCCAGATGTCTTGGCTTGGGAAGCGCTGCTGCATTCCAGGACGACCAGGCGTATCGTCTCGAACCTTCCCAAGGAGCTTGTTCTCTGCCGCAAATTGTCTAGTGTGTTCGGGGAGAAATGACGTCTGGTCTTCCTTGTTGATCTGGTTCTTGCGCTGTTCTTCTATGTTCGGGTCTTCAAAGACCTTTGCAGGACTCACATTGTCGTTGGCACCAGCAGTCCTTGGCTCTTCCGCCTCTTGAGGAGTGTCTACGGTAGTTTCGAGTTGCAGACTACCAGGCGTGTCTTCCCAGACATCTTGACTTGGGAAATGGTGGCGAGCAACACTTGGACGCTTGAGCTTGTCGACCTGAGACTTCGGTTTTTTGTTGTCTTCCTCATCCTCTGGGAACAAGGGTTCATACTCCTTGTGAGACTCTAGTGGGGTACCCCCACGATCAAATTGTGCTGGGCTAGAGATAACGCGTTGCTGCTGCGTGCTATTGTTCCGGCTTGAGCTCCTGCTGTGCGTGCGCTGCTTTGTGACATATTGCGGGTTTCCGTCCTCGTTAAGCGTATACTCATTGCCGTGACGCTCTAGCTCAGGTGATACAGCAGGCTGTCTCCACTCGGCGTCTGGGTGTTTCTTTAGCTCATCCGAAGCTAGGATGGGAGTGCCGTATCCACGCTCAGTAACCCATCCGCCTTTCTCAGACGTGTTGCCACCTTCAGGACCAAGATCTTCAGTTGGCGGATCATAGCCTCCACCGTGAACCTTGCTAGCGCGGTGCGCAGGGGGATCGATATGAATGACTTCGCCTTTGTCGTTGACCTCTTGGCCTGCTTCGTTACGAAGCGGTGAGTCGACGTAACCACCCTTAATTGAGGCAGGGCGACCCGACGACTGCGGCCTGGGAGAGGCCATTCGCGAAGCATACTCCTCAGTAGCCCTGTAGCCGATCTGTTCGTCGGGTGTACTGACTGCATCTCGGCTGGTGCCTGAAAAAACCAGTTAGGAATAATTGTTTGACACAGAAGCTGCTGACAACTTACCCATTCCAACGTCTTGAGACCTGGTGTGCACTAGCTTCTCAAGATTGTCCGCACGCCAATGATAATCCTTCCTATTTTCTTGAATGTGAGGGCCATACTCGCCGGCCTTCTCGCGCTTGAGATCCTCGGGATGCTTTTCATACCACTTCTGCTCAAAATCGTCTGTTGAAATCTTGCCATGACCGTGCATACCGTAGCTACCAGGAGGACCATGGAAGATTTCACGACCGCTCTTGGTGCGGCCGTGATGACGACCTCCGGCTTTCTGGTGGAAACCTACTCCTTGGGTGCCGGGCTGTTGCGCATAGGGCGAAGGACTGGGAGCCTGGACATCTCCGGCGTTGCGGAACATGGGTACCTGCACACCGATCTCGGGAATGCCGTGTTCATCCTTGTCGTTGTAGAGAGAGCTGGGGCGTGAGCCAGCGGAAGACCCTGAGCGACCGGACTTGGCCTGAGAGACCTTGTCGTCAACGGACAGCTGCGAGCCAAAGCCAGCGGCAGCAGCTGTCTGCGAGTCGGTCCGCGTCACGGCCTGGATCCTACTTTTCGCGGTTGAGCTGGGGACTGAGGCAGTTGGAGCATGCAAAGGCAAGTCTCCCGCCACGTTCTTCATATGTTGTGGTGAGCCGCCCTGGTTCTCGCTTGTGAGGGTCTTTGACAGATCTTCGAAACTGGCGTATTCGTTGCCTTCTTCTCCGAGCGAGGGCATGGAGACGCTCGGTGGACGCGAGGGCAGATCGGTGCTAAGACGACCGCCCTCCCTGGGCGGTCCGCCATGTACGTAGGTTGGGTCGTTAAGAGGGGAGCGGGCATATCGGTCCCCAGCTGGAGAGACGGAGCGTTCGACGCCACGCTTCGGGCGTGGAGGAATCTTGGGGACGTCCATGTGGGTGCCCGGCGCAGGAGAAGAGCTGTTCTGGGCCCGCGCGGGGCGTGGAGGTATCGTTGGTGGAGCACTCATTGTTTCTGAGTCTGTTGCTCAGGTGGGTAGGTGAGGGGTGGGTGTTGGGTAAACTACACGAGGTTGAATGTCAGTGACAGAGCCGGAACATTGAATGCTTGAATTGAGCAGGGTGTAAGGAGCAGCCCGGTCAGTCGAGCAGAGGAAACGGGCAGCTGTAGAAAACTGCTCAGCTCTGGCTCGGGCAGTTTCCTGCAGGCCAGGCCAATAAGCGCGGCTAGGACTTGAAGACCCAACGATGCTGGACAAAGCGGATACACTGGGTACTCACCTCAAATACGCAATTGGACTGGAGACTACAAATGAGGCTGGCAAGAGGGGCAGATAGCCAAAATGGCGCAAATGGATCGGCTTTGTGAAGCTGGGGCGGTGCACTTATGTAGCAGAGAGCTTGCGACCCGCATTTGCATCATGCCTGGGTATGGCGTATGGGCCCTGGTCTTCTGCACGCGGCTACCATCGTCACCCTCCAAAACCTGCATACCCATCACCCATGATTTGACTCGGTCAATTGCATGGTTTCGTTACTGTTGCCACATGGCAGTGTCGTGGAGAAGATGCTGTCTTGCTCGACACGTCAATGTCACTGTTGGCGGATGGAATGGAGCACTTGAGCGTCACACATCCATGAATGCTCGCCAGACGCTATCCTACATTGGGGACTATGCGACTGCAACAACCGCATGCTCATGTTTCGCAGCCTGCGAGGCTCCAACTTGGATCGAGACTTGTGCGGGTTACACTGCAAAGCTCACCATACGATATATATCTTTGTTTGACCTACATCCATCAGCTGCGGTGAGTGTGGCAGGATCTTCAACGCCCGCGCAAGCTCCGGCACCGCTAGACCGCTAGCGTTCCCCGCGCCGAACAAGTGTGGTTCCTGGCGAGATTGTAGCAGCCAGTCACCGTCATCCCAAAGGCGAGCAGATGCCAGTCTATCTATGGTGGGTTTCCGCAGTCGTTGGTCTGACACTGCGCGTGCTTGTCGGCGCCTCTCCAGCATGAGCGTCGAATTGACCTTGACAAACTGTTTCGTAGATGCATCTGAATATTCAAAACCAGAGAGGCTGAAGCGATGTTCATCCATGACGAGCTTCTAGAACATCGTCATAGGGACTCGTGTGGGCCCTGCACTCGTCCCCATACATCAATACCTGTGTATAATTACGTAGGTGCCCCCACACAGCGAGAAGATATGCTTCACAGACAAATACTCAATTGTCATGGGAACATGATGAGTACCGGAGAAAAAAAAATGTGTCGCATTTTGGCCGCCTAGCAGTTTGACCAAGCATTTCCAAATCCAAGGGATTTTCATACAAGATATAGCTCCCAGAACGCCCAGCTGCCGAATGATGCTACAAAGGAGTTACACCACACCCTATAACCGCTTCCCAACAGGCCAAGCTCATCATCTCGGTCCTAGAGACTTCAACTGCTTCGTCGATCCTTGCGTTCTCTATATAAACAACGTGTCGTTCGTCCAGATTCGTCGCCCATGCCTACTGCTTCTTTGTCCAGTTCCACCTCCGCCGCCTTATATAATCATTTGTGCGACTCCTTGTCCTCCCAGTGTCTTGCTGCCCTGGAACTGCTGGCCTTTGAAGCCAGCAAGCGCGTAAAAGACGGCTGCGAGCAGTAGGAAGACGGCCGCAACAATCAAGCTAGTAGCCCGGGCGGCGATACTGGCCCATTGTATGGCGCTCATCGCCGCGTAGATGGCCGCGCGCATGTAGTTGGAGCTGAATTTACGGATAAAGGTATCGAACTTGGGCGACGTCGGGCAAATGCGGAGGAGCAGCGGTATTTCGATGAAGATGATGATGAACGAGCATACTCTGCGAGCTGGTTAGATGTAATTTTGTTTGGGAGAAGGCCACGGGAAACGTACAAACACACAATGCTAAACGCGATGACCCAGTTGGCGTTGAAGATGTTGGCTATGCCTAGCGCAAAGCAAAGGATTATACACAGCACTCCGGTCCTGCGGATGATTTAGTATGGCATGCTGCAGGCAGTGGACATGTGCATAGCAGCTGGTGTGACTGACCATTGACCATAGATACCTGTGGAGATGCCATGTCAGCAACAAGTAACAGGTTGGGCACTCGGCGTCTTACTGAAATTCCTTGACTTGAACTCTTCTGCAAGCGTCATCTTTGCGGTGCAACTACCTGTCGAATAACTCTAGCTGTGCTGGGCGATGCGCAAGGTGGTGTGTTGCAGATGTCTGGGTTGCGGTTCCGGTAGCTTTGTTGCTGGCGCAAGCTGAATGAAGCTCTTGGAAGATGTCTCACGCGAGGTTTGATATGCCTTGTTGGAATATCGTGCGCCGCGTTGGTGTACGTTGCGCTGCGTAATGTGATTGTGGCTGTGCAATGAATAGGCTTGGACAGAGTGAATGTTGGTCGATGCCTGGCGTTGCGATGGCAATGGCTGTGTGCTTCTCTTGGTAGCTTAGCCCTCGGTCGGATCGCGGCTTCCACGTCCACGTAAACTAGGCGCTAGTGCTTGCCGAAACCGTCTTGGGCCGGCACTCAGCGCCTGAGAACTCGGACCTGCACCTTCTGTTTCAGAACATTCTGTATGGTCGCAACTGCCTCACCTTGGAATGACTGCAATCTGGCAAGCGAAGGAATCATGGAAGGCTCTCGTGCTCGCGTCTGCCGCTCTTGGCCTGACGCTTTACTATCTACATGCACAGCAAACACCGACTTCGAAATCTGCGAATACTTCTCAGGTGCATACAGAACAGTGCCAAGACAACGAAGCGATTCACGTACCAGACGCCATGGATCCGGAGGAGAGAGCGTATCATGAAGGCTTCATGCGGGAGGCTATCGCTATGGTGAATCACGCCCTTCGCTTTGCAACATTTCACCTCTATCCTAAGCCTCCATTACCGTGTTTGGATCCAATGCTGACTCATCACCGCTACAGGCTGAACTTGCACTGAAGAGTGATGAGACGCCCGTTGGCTGTGTCTTTGTCAAAGATGGCGAGGTCATTGGACGAGGCATGAACGAGACAAACCGAACTCTGAACGGTACCAGACACGCAGAGTTCGTCGCCATCGCTGGCATCTTGTCAAAGCACCCCATCAGCATCCTCAACGAGACAGACCTCTATGTCACTGTCGAGCCATGCGTCATGTGTGCATCCATGCTGCGCCAGTACGGCATTCGAGCAGTCTACTTCGGATGCTGGAACGAGCGGTTCGGCGGTACTGGAGGAGTGCTGAACATCCACTCTGAGTATGTGACCCTCGTTCTATACAGACACATCAATTGTCCGTACTGACTCCTGTAGCCCCAGCGTTGACAAGCCCTATCCAGTCACCGGCGGCATCTTCCGAGAGGAAGCAATCATGCTGCTTCGGAAGTTCTATGTCCAGGAGAACGAGAAGGCCCCCGAGCCTAAGCAGAAGAAGACGAGGGAGCTCAAGACGGAGATCCTACCCATGGACGTCCACCAGCCCAAGTCAACGCCATCTCCTGCTATCCGTACCCCAGTCAATGCGACCTCGACTGGATCCATCCAAACACTGTCTTCTCTGGCTACATCTGCAGCTGCTGCAGCTGTCGCAGTTCCCAAGACTGTGTTCCCCCCACCTGCACAATCTCGTCCTACTTCTGCTAGCACAGCTCTCGCCTAAGAGCGCTTACGATGAATGTATGATTACCCCAGGTCATAGAAGTTAAGACGAAGGAACGAAACGGAATATATGATAGTTTATGCCCTTTACCTTTGATAGAACACTTGTTGCTCACAATTACATGGAATCAATTTGAAAATATTGAGAATACCGTACCTGTAGCACCAGTCTCAAAGGAATCATGACTGGCAATGGAGATGGAAATGCATTTAGGATTGAACTGGGAATCAATGAGGGTCCAAATCGCCTTTGCCTTATTTCTCGCCTCCACCACCTGCAACCAATTGCACTACTAAGAAGAGAGCGAGAGCCCACCAGTACCTGTATAAAAGTCAGCATAGCCTCCGAGAGCGAGAACTGTTGCACTACGCACTTTTGCAAGAACGTCTTCTCCGGCTCTTTACCATCAAGCTTCCCCTCGGCATTGAGCACGATAGGCTTGTTCAGGACCGGTTTTGGCCCAACATTCCTCTTCTTTATCTCCACCTCCACCTCGTCTCCGCTGCCTTTCGCGCTCGTACCGAAGCCGATGTGGAAAGGTTCCCCCTTGTCATCGACATGGATGATAAACTTCTTGTGGTATCGGTCGGAGAAGCTAGCTGCTGATGTGACAATGCCCCGCCATGAGCCGGATTTTGGATCTGTAAGGCCGACGCGAAGAAGATGATCAGGCGAGTAGGAGCCTGTGGGTGGTGTGAAGGAAGCTAGACTGCCGACGGATTGGTCTGCATCGTATTCGATCTGCGCGAGCGGGATTGGGGAGGGAATTACAGCGCTGTCGGCTGAGGCTGGGACAGAGGAGACATAAAGTGTGACCGACGATGCGACCGCAAAGGGAAGCAGAAGAAGCCTTGACAATAACATCTTGGCGTGCTGGTGCGGTTGCTATCTGTATGCGCAACCGTGTTGGTTACGAGAGCTAGGGCTAGTTCAACTCAACGGCGAATCGTATCACCGACGGGCCATTCACTCAAGCGAGCCACGCTTTCGTGACCCCTCCTCCTCATCCCATATCTCCTGAGGTAAACAGCAAAATGATCCTGCACCTCCGCTTGATCCGAAATCGCACCGATGACCATGATCAGCCAGCATCCAAGACATGAACTTGCTTTGCGTGGCGTTCTTGACAGCCAACGCTGGCCCAACAGCATCCGGCATACCTCAAAAGGTGGACCCGACGCTCACGATGCCCACATTTCTCTGTCTGTCTGCGAGCAGATCGGCACTCAGGCCGACGATGACCCTGAGGACGAGTAGTCCGATTGCACAGAACGCTGGGGTTGTTGCCCCACCCCCACCGTACTAGAGCTCCCCCAGAGCTCTTATGAGCTCATCCCGCATTGACAGCTGTATTGTATCTCAACATTATTCTCAAGTCCTCGAGATTTCTGCTAGCTTTCCTCAATTCTAACACATCGCCCTTCTGACACTTCTTCATAATCGTTTGCAGCAATGGCAATTCCTTTCCGACAGTCCCAGCGCAAGCAGTCGCGTCAACTGTCGACGGACCCCCGCAATGAGCTCCACCCTCAAGTCGACCACTACATCGGTATCGATGTTGGTACTGGTAGTGCCAGAGCCTGCATCATGAATGATCAGGGAGACATCGTTGGACTGGCATCAGAGAACATTGGCCTCTGGCAACCACAAACTGGCTACTATGTACTTCATTCACATGTGACAGCTGTTGTGACTGAAAACTAAATGAATCAGGAACAATCCACAACGGATATCTGGCGGTGCATTTGCTCTTCAGTCCGCCGAGCAATGGATCAGCACAACATCGACCAGAGCACTATCCGCGGTATCGGCTTCGACGCCACCTGCTCGCTCGCAGTCTTCAGAGACGACACTGATGAGCCTGTTGCGGTCACCGGACCCAATTTCGATAACAAAGATGGTAACGATCGCAATGTCATCCTATGGCTCGATCATCGGCCTGTAGAGGAAACCAACAAGATCAACGCTACCGGGCATAATCTGCTCCGCTACGTTGGAGGCAAGATGTCTATTGAGATGGAGATTCCAAAGGTTCTGTGGCTGAAGAACAACATGCCAAAGGAGCTATTCGACCGCTGCAAGTTCTACGATCTGACTGATGCTCTTACGCATTTAGCTACTGGCAGTGAAAGCAGAAGCTACTGTAGTGTAGTCTGTAAGCAGGGCTTTGTACCGGTCGGAGTCGATGGGAGTGTCAAGGGCTGGCAGGAAGACTTCCTGAAGGAGATTGGACTTGAAGACCTATGCGAAGACAACTTCAAGCGCATGGGAGGTGTTGATAAAGTGGTTTGTCCTTCGCTACTAGCACCTGACGGTACCAGCTAACATGCATGCAGAACGGACGCTACCTCACTGCTGGTGAACTTGTCGGTACACTCAGCGAGAAGGCTGCACAGGAGATGGGCTTACAGCCTGGTATCGCAGTCGGCAGTGGAGTTATCGATGCCTACGCTGGCTGGATTGGTACGGTTGGTGCAAAAGTCAAGCTCGACGAAGATACTCTCGACATGGATCAACCCAAGAACGACGTCTCACAAGCTTTCACGCGCCTCGCAGCCGTTGCTGGAACATCGACCTGTCACCTTGCCATGTCCCGTAACCCGGTCTTCGTCGACGGTGTCTGGGGTCCATACCGAGACGTCCTACTACCAGACTACTGGATGGCAGAAGGAGGACAAAGTGCAACGGGTGAATTGCTCAAACATGTAATCGAGACACATCCAGCTTTCAACGAAGCCGTGTCTGTCGCAGAAACATACAACACCAACATCTATGACTACCTCAACGAACACCTCCGCGAGATGGCAGACAAAGAAAATGCCCCACACATCGCCTGGCTTGGCCGCCACTTCTTCTTCTACGGTGATCTCTTCGGCAATCGCTCGCCCATCGCCGACCCTAACATGAAGGGCTCTGTAATTGGCCTGAGCTCCGACAAGAGTCTCGACAGTCTGGCGCTATACTACTACGCAACCATGGAGTTTATCGCTCTGCAGACACACCAGATTGTCTCTGCGATGAATGCCTCCGGCCACGTTATTTCCTCAATCTTCATGTCTGGTTCTCAGTGCCAGAACAGCCTGCTCATGCAACTCATGGCCACCGCATGCGACATGCCCGTTCTGATTCCACGCTATGTACATGCAGCTGTGGTGCACGGCGCGGCTATGCTGGGTGCAAAGGCAGCGAGCACCGACAAGGACGGAAACAGTGAACCGCTTTGGGACATCATGGACAGACTGAGCAAGCCTGGAAAAACTGTGAAGCCACTAGCCGACAAGACAGTCAAGAAGTTATTGGACGCTAAGTACAAGGTGTTCCTGGAGCTGTGTGAGGGACAACAAAGGTACAGGAACGAGGTCGATGCTGCTATTGCAGGTTGGTCGAGCAAGTAGTTCCCCCGAGGCGAAAACAGACAGGAATACGGCAAAGAGAGAGATGATATGCGTCCATGATTAAAGATGTATTCTAGATACCAGATCCTTTGCGAGGAAGTCGTTAGAGCATACGATGTCTATGTAACCTAACTCCCTGCTTATGTCTCCGAAACAAAAACCAATACTACACGGCTCATCTGCATGTCATTGATTTAGAGCCCCCGCCGAGTGGAGTCTGTTCATCGCTATCGTTGGTGAAAGGGTATCGTACAGGGGAAATCGAAGAAGATGTGCGCTGATGCTTAAGCTCTAGTATCGTCGGCGGGGACCGCGCGGCGGTTCCCTGCGACCAGCGTCGCTGAAGCCGAACCGGCCATCTTGGTAGCTACCGGTTTGTGCGCCCGCGTTGGTATCAACGTCCATGTCATCCATGGATTGTGTCAGGCGAGCGGGCGGTGCTCGGGGTTGCGCTACGTGGGTGCTCGCAGGAACATCCTTCATGTAGACGTAGAGTAGTCTTCCATCAGCCTGTTGTTCTGATTAGTCCAGCCCAGCAATATGCACGCCAGACGACTGACCTTCTGGTTGTTGAATGTTGCAATAACATTCTCGGCCCCGTCTCTGCTTGCAAACTGTAGTTCAACCATGACGGTCGGGTTGGAAGACAAAAGTCTGCAGCCCAGCGTCTCTCCGCCAATTGGGCTCATGACGGCTTCGATATCCGCGGCTGTGGTTCCAGGTGCAAAGTTGCTCGCGATGACGGTACACGGGCCTCCAGTCGCAACACCTCGAATGCTGAAGCCTGCTGCACCTTGACCGATAACGGGAGCAAATTTGCCGTACGTCCTACTGTTGCGCTCAACCTGCGATGCTGAAGCCGTCCGAGCGAGGGTGTTCCTGTTGTTGGCTGCGCCGCGGGGATTGTTCAGCTTATGCAGATCATGCTGCCATTTCCCCTCGATGCTGCCCGCTGGTTTTGCGCTCGATGATCGCTTTTGGACGCCGGCACCCCCGTTTATCCGGCTGAGCAACGAAGGCTTCTCGGACTCGACGCGCGACCGTCCACCAGCGCCTGATGCGTTCGCTTTCCGTCCTCGGTTGGCTCCGCCTAGGAACTGCTGCGCGAGGGCTTCGTTCTTCTTCTTCTCCCTTGTCTGCTTGACAAAGTTCTCAAAAGATGCCGAGGTTGAGGCGACCATGTTGGGTGAGGGTGCAAATGGAGTTTCGTCGTGGTGGGTTGATGTAGAAAGGAAGCGCGTAGGTGCCGACCGAGGAACAACGGTGGAGCGCGTCCATGAGCAAGAGGGCCGCATGGATGAAAGCTTGGACCACGACCCGCTCGGCGAAACAAAACACCGCCGCGAAAAGTTCCCATACAAAAGTTGCGCTCGCTGCTTCCCTTCTCACTCCAACAACGCGCCCAACTATTGGTAAGTCATCATACCCTCCCTCTCTCTGTTTACTGTTGTTATCATGATGAACACTTGTGTCGCCCCTATCATACATTCTATGGTGATCCGACCACTCAAGCCAAACGAGAATACTGATCGTTCGCAACATCTACCAATTTGTTACCGCAACTTCTGCTGGGACCAACGCTAACAAATTATAAAGGGTCTCGTAGTTGTCTGTCGTAGTATGACTTCGCGACGACGATGCGCATTGCGAAGCGTCACCGCTCACGTCGGTTCGTAGCCCCACGAAGTCTTACGCCTCTCGCACATCCTCTATGGTCGTTGGTTACAAGCAATGGCAGACCTCGTCATAGCGCTGTCGAGACGGCAAAATCTTCGTGGGCTGCGATATGATCCAAAAGGTTAGACCACATCCCTCGCACCCCAGCACCCATCCTTAGATGATGAGCAACAAATGTATTATCAAATACCGACCACTTCGTGGGGAATAAACTAGTTCGATTACCTGAATCTCTTCCCATATCCGAGCTCTAGTCAAAACGTCTTCTGTCTGAATTGTTACTGACATTGCTCTAGGTAAATACAGTATTGAAGTAACACATCATTCAGTTATCAGCTGTGCAGTGGAAAGGTACATTACCCACGTTTTTTTCTTCTTCTTTTCCATGCTATGATGAACACCAATTCATGCTAACTCAGACGGGGCTCGCCTCACTGATTGAAAAAACATTCGAGACTTTTCATCTTTCGACTGATTGCTCTCTTCAACTGCTTTATTTGTTCAAATCAACGACGGACATTATATGCTGACTGTCAGTCGCAGATGACGCTCGTATCGTGCAACGCCACTACTCATTCTTCCTTCCTTCTCAGCCGTTGTCACACGCCGATGGAATTGAGCAAGGTGTATACAGCAGGAGACGAAGCCAATTCAATAGAGGTGTCTGTCGGGAAGTACAGCGCAATTATGTAGTTTGTTATTTATAATGAAAATGTCTAAACTACTACTATTGAATCTTGACTGTTCGCAAAGTACATAGACAGTGAACATGGAACTCCTAGTACACACTGCATCTACGCAGAATCTATTCAAATATACTCTTGATCGTGGTAAATGCATACTTGGATTAGGCTGCTACGGAGGAACTTGTCCTAGCTAAACATCGTGTGTACGCTTTGTTGTAGGCAAAGACCTTTTTGTTTTTACGAACATGGGGCGAACGTCACGCAGCTCTCCTGTCGAATAGGTTCCGTACATAGAACTAGTTGAGTTATACTGGCCATAAATCTGGAGCGGTGTGTGCAGCTGATGTACAATCGCATATCGATTTAAGACACGTGAGGACGCGCATCGCGGTTTCGGAGTTTAGGGATCGGCCTCCGCATTCCTGAAACAATTCTCCAAACACAACGTTGGCAGCCCGACTAGCACACGCCCATTTGCGAAGTAAAGAAAGATGGCAGCGAAGCCCGAGGACGCGAGTACGGCACCTACGGAGGGGGCCGGTCTCTTTAGTGGAGCGGGTCTGGAGAAACAGCCGGAGCCTGATCTTGTGGCTGGGTCTAACGACAAGAACGATGGAGGGGAGGCTATCGACAATGCCACCGCGGCAGTAGCCGATCTCTCTGTCGACGAAAAGAAAGAAGAGAACAAGGAAGCAGAAGTCACTCCCCAAGCCAATGCCGTGGCGCCCGAAACCGCACACAGCGAAGCCAAACCTGTGGAACAGAAAGAACCCGAAGCCGACACCGTAGCGCCCACTCAGGGACCCTTCTGGCCAGAGACGGCGCCCGATCACCCACTCACCAAGTTCTACGATGCTTTCGAAGCCCTCGTTACCGAAGCCCAGCATGGAGAAGTCTACGGCATAGAGCTCAGCAAATCAAAACCCTTCCATACCAAGCTCATACTACAAAAGTTCCTCCGAGCCAACCAAAACGACCTGGAGAAAGCGAAGTCACAGCTACTGGATACGCTGAAGTGGAGAAAGGAGTTCGATCCGACCAAGGCCGCAGGGGAGACATTCGAGAAGAGCAAGTTCGATGGGCTAGGATACGTGCTGGAGGTCGAGGGCGTGCCGGAGAGTCCCAACAAGAAGGATATTGTTACTTTCAACATCTATGGAGCTGTGAAGGACAACAAGGCTACATTTGGTGATCTAGATGGGTATGTTCTTTCTGCTCCTAATGCCATAAGGGGAACCATTCTAACAGAAACCTTACAGCTTCCTCCGCTGGCGTGTGGGCCTTATGGAAAAGTCCGTTCAAGCACTCAACCTCCCCGCCGCTACGGCGCCCATTCCCAATTTCGGAGAAGGTCCAGACCCATACCAAGGATTTCAGATTCACGACTACCTTCAAGTCTCTTTCTTGCGCCGCGACCCCCTTGTCAAGACGGCAACCAACAAGACCATTGAAATACTAGGACGTCACTACCCCGAGACCTTGAGCAGGAAGTTCTTCGTCAACGTACCCGTGGTCATGGGTTGGCTGTTTAACGCAATGAAATTGGTTGTGGCCAAGGAGACGAGCAAGAAGTTTGTGGTGCTGAGCTATGGAAATCAGCTTGCCGCCGAGCTGGGTAAAGGTGTACCGAAGAGTTATGGTGGTGAAAGGGCAGAGCTGGCCGAGAGCGCCGAGAGTATGAAGATGGCTTGATGTCACATGTGATACTACCACGAGGAGGGAAAGAAGGCGGTGGATGGTAATGGTAGGAGATGGAAGAAGCGACTCAGTGTGTTTGTCTGGCTTCAAAAGCCTTGTTATACCCCACTCAAGATTGTTCAGTCCTTTTGAAGCGAATTTGTTATGACAGTCATTACTTGTATGCCAATTCAGCACGTTACATATATACCTTGAGATTCAAAATGCACCATCACCATGTTCGGTATTCAAAGTATTCGTACACAAACAGCTGGATATCATTACTCCTGGTCAGCACCTTCTTTGCCATTACCTTCAGTCGACACCACTGCTCTGTCAACCCAGCCCTCACCCCTCAACACACCTAATCCCTTCCTCGCAACACCACTGTTAACCGCCCGTGGCGACACCTCATACAAAGCATTGACAGTTGCCAAACTAACAACGAAAAGCAGTACGTCTCCATTCTTCACGCCCTTCCACCATCTCCTCTTGACACCCACTTTCCATAGTGAATCAATCGACATTCTGGCCGTATATAGGAAATTACTCCGCCCACCTTTCCTCTCCAAGAAAGCCCATAGGCCACCGAGGAAACCACCTAGGAACCAGCGTTGGGTGGAGAGGAAAGTCCGGGGCAGAATGTTCTGGAAGAGGCAAATAGAGCCCCAACTCGTTCCTATAGCACCAGAGAGGAAGAGCGACATGCGCAGTACGCGTTTGGCGAGATTATTTAATGAGGCGACGGGCGAGGAGAGGAAAGCTTTGTACTTTGTGATGCTCATAGCGGCGAAGAAGAGAGTGAAAAAACGGGCGATTTTGGGAAAGGCTTGGATCCAGTACTGGACGTAGGTTCGCAGACAGGAAGGATCTTGTGGGTGGAGTAAGGCGCACGACAAGGACTTAATGGCTGGATGTGCAGGAGAGGTTATGGGAGAGATGGACGACAGGCGTTTTGGTAGCGTTTCTGCATTGGGGAAGAGGATAGGTGACACGAAAGCTGGCCAGCGTTGCCGCGAGATGTCGGCTAGGTTGTCCACAATATCAAACGTGCCTGGCCACTGCGCCGTGCTTGGGTAGTCTTTCGGTCGTTTCTGTATGTACTCTGGTGAGTTCTTCAATATGTGATCGCCCATGCCAGAAGGGAAACAGTCACGGTCGAAGACGAATGCGTGCAGTAATTGTCCACATGCCACTGGCATTATCATCCAGGAACCAAGCCAGGCTGGTTTGTTCTTGAAGTATCCTAGTTCCTCCAGGTAATTGTAGCCAAACTCCAGAGCTCTTGTCATTATGTATATCGCAATTGTTACGCGCAGTTGATCCCCGGGGTACACTGCGAGGAAGAACCCCGCCAAGCTGGATCCAATGGCCGGTGCCAACCTCGACGTCAAGGAACGAGATATGCGCGGGTTTCGTCGCCGGAACGACTTGCCTTCGTGGCTGAGTAGGCTTTCACGGATGCGCAGAAAGAAGCGACGTAGGAGGCGGTGGAATAGCAGTATGAGGGCGAGGGAGCTGCTGAGGCGCACGTTGGGTGACTTGAGGACCGATGTCCTAGGTTGACTCCTGCCACAGCATTAATGCGACTTGTTCAGATACAAAGCGGAACCGGACCTACCTCTTCGCTGTTCCCCGCGAAAGGAGCCTCGTGCTAATCACTTCCCATGCCTTCAGCCCCGAGAAGGTCACAACGCCCAACCGCAGTGCAGCGCGGAATGCGGCTACATTGTAATCATCCGGACCCTTGACAATCGCGTCGTATCGCTTAGGATGTATAGTGCGCTTCTTCACGACGGGTGCGCGCGAAAGGAGGTACTGGTGCAGCAACTGATACTCCTTGGCCGAGATGGTGTAGCGGAGCGCATTGCGCAATATTGGATCGACGCTCTGTGCTTTACTGGGCGGCGTGGGTTGCGATGCGCCAGACGACGACATACTGGGCGTCTTCGGTTGTATGTGTCAGGACCATAGTTTGAGGGGATGTTGTTGTCATTAGAGAGTCTGGGGAAGCTAGCCATATGACGATGATCCCTGAATGCTGCGCCTATGATCCGCGTAGCGGACCTCGGCACAGCCCTCTGCCCCATCTTATTCACATGCGAACCCATGCAGTGCCGTCAACTCCGAGCAACATGGACTTCAATCATAACGGAACTCAAGAATCGTGTCAGAGTCTGTGAATCACTCGTGGTATACTTTTCTATATACTCTATGGCTTGAAGGAAACGCTTGCATTACAGATTCGAGTCCTCGGATACGAATTGTGCATCATTTAGGGCACCAGTAGCTCGATACAAACAGCGAAACAAAAGAGATAAAGCTACACCATATTACAATGTATAGCATCTAAAAGGCGAGGAAGGCAAGAACAGCACCGAATAGAGCACCCTTGGGCACCACGGTGAAAGGCGAGGCAGCGCCAGTGAACTCAGCTGGCGAAGAAGGGCGGATGGCTCCAGTACCGGTAGCAGTACCCATAGGGACAGTGGCAGTGCCCATGGTGGAGGGGATGGGGTAAGGAGCACCACCAGCAGCGGGCGTGGTGGCAGCTGGGGTCTGAGCAGGCTCAGCAGTGCCGGGCACAAGAGCAACAGGCTCAGTTGGGTTGGCGCCAGCAGAGTTGGTCTGGGTGGTGAAGTGAACTTGTGGGACAGTAAGTGTGGTAGTACCGAAGGTGATGGTGGTGCATGGAGTCTCTGCAGCAGGAGCCTCAGGGGCAGGAGTGGTGGTGCCAACAACCTGAGTCATGGTTGCAGAGGAGACGACAGTGGTAATCGCAGGAGTTTCACCGGCAGGGACGGTCGTAGTACCCTGGGTAGGAACAGCAGGTGTCTCACTAGGGTAACCAGGGCCGTATGCACTGGATGTGCCCTGAGCAGGGGCAGAGGGAGCAGCAGAGCTCTCGCCACCAGCGGGAGGGGCAGCCATGGAGCTGCTCTCAGCGGCCTCTGGAACCTCGCTGCTGCTAGCAACACCAGTAGATGCACCACCAGATGGAGCGGCAGGAGTAGGGTTCAAGGGAATATACGAAGGGCAGTCATCGACGATGCTGGGGTTCTTAGGAACGTGTTCAGCGCAGATGCCGATGAAGTATTGAAGGGCCTTGCTGATTTCGTCATCGCTACCACAGCGAGCTGAGATACAGTCGATGACGTTCTTAGTGAATTCAGGCTTGACACAGTAGCAGTTGGAATCGGTGTTGTCCTTGCAATCTGGGGCCGAAATTTGGAGCCACGAGTTCATGCACTTGGGGACCGAGTCCGTGATGTCGACAGGAGGGTAACTAGGGCTGGAAGGCTGAGGAGCGGCCGAGCTGGTAGCAGGGAGGGGAGTTCCAGAGCTAGGGACAGCAGAAGTGACAACAGCAGATGAGACAACAGCCGACGACGCGGCCGTTGAGGATGCGACGATTGAAGACTGCTCGCAAGATTCTCCATAACCGCAACCAGCAGCAACAGAGCTCTGAGATGTAGATGGTACCTCAGCGGTGGAAGACTCCGGTTGAGGAGTAGCAGTGCTAATGGAAGGGATCGATACAGGGGTGCTGGAGACCTCGACGACAGAGGAAGACTCAATCTCGACGGCTGAAGAAGCCGGAGGAGTGTAGGCGGGCATAGAGCTGTTGGCAAAAGGAGCAGTGGAAGAGAGAGGTGTCTCAACAGGTGTGTTGCATGCCTCGCCATACTGTCCGCACTCGTTGGCAGAGGTTGCGGGTGTCTCAACGGCAGAAGACGATGCAGGAGTCTCGACCGCAGAGGAAGCAGGGGTCTCGACAGCGGAGGAGATAGTGCTGGAAGCTGGAGCAGTGGATGACTCGACGATGGTGGAAGATACGACTTCGCTCGAAGTAGAGGGAACCTCAGGTGGGGAGGGAGTAGTGTATGGTTTCTCAGCATTGCAGTCAAAACCAATGTTGTGGAAACCAATTTCGCAAGACTCCTTCTCGCCCTTGTAGTGGGAGCCAAGGTAGACCTCGACGGATTTGGCGCCACCGCACTGTGTGTTCTGCAACGTCGATCCACCGGCCGAGCAGCTGGTGTGTTGCTTGCAGAGAGATCCGTCCTCCATCTTGTAATGGAGTTCAATTTCAGCGTCGAACTCGGATGAAACATCCATGTGTGTGATCGAGAAACCACGCTGGGCACAGCCGAATGCGGCAGGCTTGTCTTTGCGAACGGTGTTCTTGATGCACTTGTTTCCAAACGTCCGCTTGCTCATGGAGTCACGCTTGCCGAAGGAGTTGGAGCACTTCCATCCTCCAGAGAAGTCAAAATCACCATAGTTGCCGACAGACTGACCATCTGTAAGATCTGACCAGTCGAAGCCACCCTTCTGCTTGTCGTCGCAAACGTTCTTGCTGTAGTTGGGTGTGCCGTAGTTGTCGAAAAAGTTCCAGTGTGCTGCGGCCTGCTGGGCTGCGAGGCCAGTGACCAAAAGAGCGTATGTGGACTTCATGGTGAAATATGGAGGTCGAGTTCAAATTTAAAAGTTGCAATAAAGATAAAGTATGTTGTAGTTGGACCTTGAACGAATGACGGTCTGACAAGACGGCAAAGTCGAAAGAGTGTGACTTTGTTCGCCTTGGTAAGCGAAAGTAGCAGCAAATTCAATGCTGTAATTAAGAAGATAGAGTGTGTAGAAACACTAGGAGAAAGGACAATGGAGGAAGATATACTTCTACCACCACGCTCGTTCGAAACAAGCCAGCTCGAAACATTTCCAAAGGATTGGTCCGCCGACAGCCTCCGACTCGTCTGCTCAGCCACGATCAGAACGAGTCGCCCAAGGGGCCTCCATGTCCGCCTTTGTCGCGCGCTCTGCAGGTCCACATGGCAATAGTGTCGTCGGTTACAAGATGGCCTGGGTAGAGGTTGTGGAGCCTAGTCGAACGGCTTTGGCGTGAGCATGTTGTAAGCGAGGGCAACAGGGGCGCTTCCGAAACGCCCTAAATAGCAGGCTTGAGTAGACTGTCATGCAGGTACGAGCCAATGACGTGAAGAGGTTGTACATCGGCAAGCCAGCAGCGTCAAGTATATTGTTCAATACTCTCATGACTGGGTGAGGCCCGATGTCCACATTCTCGAACAAACGCAGAGCCGCAAACTGTCGACGAGTCGTCACATCTATGCTCTGTTGCCTCCCGGATCAACTTCAGTAGCGGTACCGCGGAGACACTAAGGGATCGATATATACGGGCATCTGGAGGGTTCCATATTTGCTTTCTTCGTGTGTCTGGCCCGCCAGGCCCTTGCCCTGCATCCGTCTAGATCCGTATTGCCTAGCCAAGCTATTCTCCGTTATCTGTATCTCCCGTTCGAGCCAATCCCGCCACTAACTATAGTCGTGAAGCTGTCGTTCTGAAGGAACATGCACGAGCGTGTTTCACGGCTGTTACGCCATTGCGCCCTTGCAGTAGCCAACCAGCGCGAGGAACGTCAAGCTTCGCGCGACATGGATCCTAGGTCCATCGAGAGCCCGCGTCTCGAAGGCTTGTTTGCAATATTAGAAGGACGGTAGCATGAAGAAGAGCGTTGAAAGCCACGACGATAGAGCTACCAGCTTATCAAGCTCGGAGTACGGGCAGCGTTGTTCTTACTGAAGTTCGGGCGAGAAAGACCGAGGCATGGAAGGGCATGCGCGATTCATCACCCGCGCACCACTCACTATCCATCTGCAAATCAATATTGAACGTCCTTCGGAAGGTAATCTGATTGCCAGATAGAGGTTGCATAGCTCTCAGAATATCGCATATGGTGCAGGGGTGGACTGACAAGCTTTGGAGACATGGCGCACGGGTACCTTGCAGCATGTGGAACAGGCCACAGAGATGCCGTCAACGCGGAAGTGGCGGTGTCAGTGTTCGGAACACTGACGCAGGACAATAGTTCCTGAACAAGAATGACGGCATCTTAAGGCTGCAATTTACCACAAGCCACGTTGTAAGAGGATGCGACATGAGAGGAGATTTTGTACACAATTGCAAGACGTTCGTTACGTTGGCTCATAGATCATCCTCAAAGCTTTCAGATTATCATCAAGAAACACAGTACAGAGAACTCCGCCGAAGGCAGTTCCGATTGTACCACGCTGCTTCGGTACATTGTCGGGTTGTCCCTTCGGAGAGCCTTGACACGTTGCTATTCTTGTACTCCCTAAGTCCATGACAACCCAGTCGTTTCAAGAATTGAACTCCGCATGAAATACTGACATTATGCTAAGACTACCCCGGTCCCTTTAGTAACGCATCCGACGATGACAGCCACGGGAGAGTTATGCAAGAAGGAACCTGTTGTATTGCTATGTTCATGGAATGTAGAAATTTGCAAATTTCTACCGTGATCTATACCGATGTAAATGCAGTGTACGCCAAACCCCCAATGCACAGCACTGATATCCACACAATTCTGGTATCGTTGCCATTGCTCCCAAAACGCCTTGAAGATGAATCGCGTTTCGCAGGACTAGTTTATGCGCAAAAACGGGTGGGCGAGAACATAATACTCCAATCTATGGTTGCGCGTCTACGCGCTATGTCCGGAAAGTTGCTGCCTCCATAACTATTCGTCTTCGACCACAATGTGCACTACTTCACTCCGACGACGTTCCTTGGTAAGATAGTCGCTGGCTACGTTACGAACACGAGCGTGACACTCGTGCGCGGCGCGATTCAGGAATGGCACCTGGAGAGCTCCGCAGATTGCGACTAGGGCGGAACCCCACCAGGCCAAGGGTGTGAAGTGTAGCTCAATAGATAGACCGTAGAGTAAGCCAGCAATGGGGCTCGCCACTGTACGGCAGGCAGCACCTGTCGACGCTGCTAGTCCGTTGATTCTTCCGAGATGCGACCTGTCGGGCGTAGCTTCTTTGATCATGATCAGGAGAAGTGGGAAGGCCAGGATCGATGTCAGATTTCGCACGGTCAGGCAAGCGAACAGACCAGGGTAGAGCAAGTTTTCGGGTAGAAGCTGCAGGAAGGGAACAATAAAGTATGCAATCGGATGTGCGAGCGTAACCACGAGGAGCAGGCGCCATACACCAAAGCAATCCGCCAATAGAGGGAAGACGAAGCCCTGGATCGCGAGCTGAATGATGCCGTTAAGGGAAAGGATAATGCCCACGTTCTGAATAGGGATACCAAGGCCACCGCCCAAAGAAGAAGGCGAGATGTCCAGTGCGTTCATGTCACTGTCAGCGCGTTTGTCCTGGAGGAAGATGGGAAGTAGGTGATCGTATGTCATCTAATTTCACATCAGCCGGTTGCTCATGCCGGGATATCTATTGGACTTACAGAATGGTACGTGAAGATTCCCAGTGCTACGACGAATAAGATGACTGGACGCGTGAAGACCTTCTCATCTGTTGGCGATTCTACCCAATCTCCGTTAGAGCGTACACGCCAGATTTCGTCGTGTTCAACCTCTACGGCGTTGAAAGTGCCGTAAGAATCTGCTGTCAAGTTTGCGGCTGCATCAGCTGTCGCACCCTGGGCTGGGAGAAGCGGCGTCTCTGCAACGGCTGGGTCGTATTGTTCGAAATAACCTCGAGGCTGCTTGTCTGGGTGAGTCTCTTCTAGAAGGAAATATGCCATCAAGATAGAGAGTAGGAGTAGAGAGGCACAGATAATGTTTGGAAGTAGGTAAGGGAACTTGGCAAAAAGACCAGTGGGGCTGAAGACAGATGGAAAGTTTCGAGCGGGCTCAGCAAAATATCCGCCGATCGATGCTAGAGCAGTCAGTATAGGTGACTAGGGGACGATGGATGGGTGAGGTCTTACGGCCTATGATAGTACCAATGCTCCATACAAACGGCATGACCGCATACGCCTTTGCTATTTGCTAATTAGTAACATCTAACAGAAGTAGGCGTTGGAACTTACGTTCATGTTCGGGTTGCTTGACCAACTCTCCCACCATGGTCTGGATAACGCCGATGTTACCATTAAGCGCACCGCCGATGATCCGACCCAGAAGGGCGACCCAGAAATTAGGAGCTAAGCCAACAAGTAGCAAAGAAGACATTGTTCCTAGACACCCAAGTATAACAACGGGTTTTCTACCTATGCGATCGGAGACTGAGCCCCAGTACATGCCCGAGCATGCCTCAGCGAGCGAAAAGGCGGAGATGAGCAGACCGGCGAAGAACGGTGCATTCGCTTCGGAGCCAACCTGGAAGTTGGTGACGAGTTTCCATGCGTATGGAAGTATGGAAGTGAGAGCAATTGGTTCTGCGACTCGAACCAGTGCTGAAATGTACTGTCAGTGCGAGGCTCAGGCTAGTGACAACTAGTGTCAGTGACGTAGAAAGTCATACCTAGGAGACCGAGCTGAGCAGCGGGAAATTGATCTTCGCGGATTTCGGAGGCATCTTGGGGGGGACTTGTTCTTCGATTCTTGGTAAGAAATGACATTCTGCAACCTGGTTTGGTTCTTACGGCTTGGCCAACACGCAGTTGTGCTTTAGCTCGGAGGTGGCTTGCTGTGTGAGTAGAGCTTTCTCTGCGTTTGACCTAAAAAGACCCAGAAGCAAACAAATGAAGGCGCGGTGGCTAGAAACAGAAGTTGTGTGATAGCGGTGTGCTGTACAAAGAATGCAGAGAGGAGAATGGAGGAGGAAAGTTCTGGTCGGTGCCCGTCCAACCAACGGAAGCCAGCCACTAGGACGGGACGATCGGCAGGCGCACTAGACAGACTTGGCGAGCACACTACCCTGCCTGCAATCTACAATCAACATTCTGCATGGCGATGCAGCACAACGCCTTTCCACTCGCAACTCGATACCTCACTGACTACTCAATACAGACACATCCGCTGATTTTCCCGCGAAGATACCGTGGAGCACGTCGGGGAACCTTGTTACATCTAGTTGTGACCCACATGGCGGTGGCGATGGTGGTGCGCTAGTGACTTGGCGCTCATAGCCGTTTCCGCGGTTCTCCTGCGTTTTGGTGACATCAAGCGTGAACCAGACGGAGCGACGTCATCGTTATCATGTTTTTCTCTCCTCTCTTGGTGCAACATCTCTTGTATAATCGCTTTCAGCCTTAGATGATATACATATCGACATCTAGCACATGGTGCACTACACAAAGACCAATCATCGAACTCGGGTAAGACGCCCTAATGTATAGGCGGGCAAGGAAGCTAGCCGTTGCCCTGCATCGCTCTGCATATGGCCAACCAGAAGGCGGCTGTACCTTTTTGCAACACCATGACTTCAGGTCCAGTGCTACACACCTAGATACACCATCTGCCTGCCACATGTAAACAGCCAATAGCTTCCTGAACCACTGCCATACGGATCCACGTCTTCATTGGATCTAGAAATCTACTGAAAAGCACGCAGAGTGAAGTAAATATCGGCAGCTGTCCTACTCATGGCTAAATACACAGCAAACTCCTAACTTCAAACCACAGCAATGCCGTTATCACATGGACAAGACGGAGAGGTGAGCAAGTTTTAGAGTCACAGAACAGGTCTTGACAAACAAGTGGCATCTACCGAATTCGTTGTACCTTCAAATCCGTCGTGCACTACTACCGTTACTTAGAAATCTTCATATATCTATAGTAGCACGCGATGCGGGTGATACGGCTTCTGTCGCGTGCTCAGGTTCTGATTGTCGACTTCTGCTGCCTCAGCCCTGTAGAGGGTACCGTCTTAGCGTCGCTAGCGCCCGCCCTGGTCCCACCTCCATCCCGCTGACATGGCGTCGCTTTGTCGACTGCATCACTCACACCTCTACATATATGCTGACAAACATGTGTTACAACCTGTTCATACGTCCCACCGGCTCTGGCACCGCACTTCGGCTGGTTCAAGCACGTTGCCAAGCGGCCAATCCCGGCGCGAAGAATTTCTCGAAGACTTTTACGTGATATGTGGAGCATCGGACGACACGGTCACATCTCAGCGCACACTATTACTCACGATGACCCACACTCCTCATCAAACTCCAAGACCCCTTCTGCATTGGCATTATGCAGCGACGATGTTTTCAAAAGCCTATGCCGCATGTAGCCTTATCGTACTCTTTCCCCCACAAACTTTACTCCGCTATTGCAAGCTTGACAGTGGATCCGTAGGATGTGCACTATGTTAGCCAGAATTCAATTCGATGTGTGCAGTAGTCACCGGGAGGCGATCTCCCAGGGTCTGTTCGGCCACTAGCACACATTACGTCCTAGGATGATGACCCAGAGGTCCGATACAGGAGGCGCGCAGGTTCAAAAGACCCAGCTTCGCCGCTTCTCGCTGCCAAGTTACCTTTCATCTAATATCATTTGAGACCCCATAACCCGTTGTTACGGCCAAATCTCAACCATGGGTCTGAAAGCCTTCCTTAAGAAAGAGCACAAAGCGCCCTCGAACGACGATGTTGCTTCTCACACGACCGCATCGGAGAAGGACGATATGGAGCAGGCATACGGACACAACACCGACATCACCACGGGATGGACAGGTGATGGATTCGCTGGTGCGACAGAATACCCAAACACTCCAGGAGAGAATTACCGTACATTGGGTCGATGGCGAGCGTGCGTCATTCTGATCACGATCGAAGTCGGAATTGGTATCCTGAGTTTGCCCTCCGCTTTGAAGACGCTCGGCCTGATACCCGGAATCATCGCAATCCTTGGATTTGGTATCTTGACAACCTACTGCGGATACATCCTTCTCCAATTCTATCGAAGATACCCCATGGTTACGAACTTGGTCGACTGCGCATTATACGTCGGAGGCAAGCCATTCGAAACCTTCCTCGGAATTGCCTTTGTTTTCAACCTTGTTCTCATCTGCGCTTCCGCCAACATTACTCTATCGGTAGCTCTCAACACGCTGTCGCGCCATGCTCTCTGCACGGTGGCTTTCCTGGCGTTTCCTCACATCCTCTGTTGGCTACTCTGCATCCCACGAAAGCTCTCTTTCGCCGCCGCCGCTAGCTGGGTATGCACGATCTCTATTGTAGCTGCGGTCCTAATCGTTATGATTGCACTTGGTGTTGCTGGACCAAACGCCCCACCCGGATTCGAGGTTTCGATAGATTTAGTTGGGAAGCCGACTTTCGTCGAGGCCGTAAATGCTCTGCTGAACGTCGCTTTCGCTTTCGCCGGAAACCAAAGTTTCATCAGTGTCATGGCTGAGATGAGAGACCCATCCAAAGACTTCCCTCCTGCGCTCTTTATGCAGAAATCTTTCGAAGTGGTCATCTACATCGTAGTCGCCTGTGTCATCTATGGCCTTGCAGGCAATGCAGTCACATCTCCCGCGCTCGGCTCGGCTCCCGAATTGACTGCCAAGATTGCTTACGGCATTCTTATCCCCTCGGTGCTGGGAACTGGTCTGATTATTGGCATTACGGCCATCAAGTTCATGGTAAGAACTATTTTGTCCTACAGAGGAAACCATAAGTTAACGTCAACGTAGTACATTACTATTATGCGAGCTGCAAAGCCTGAGCAGGTAAACGTCCACAACACGTTCACCTGGACTCTGTGGATCGGCCTCGGCGCCCTGTTCTGGATCGTATCCTTCGTCATCTCCAACGCGATTCCAATCTTCTCGTCGATTCTCAATATCTCGTCCGCCATCTTTATCTCATGGTTTACGTTTGGACTCACGAGCATCTTTTGGCTGCATCTGAACTGGAAGACGCAATGGAGTACACCGCAGAAGAAGGCCCTGGCTGTTGTCAACTACGGCATCATGCTTATGACCATCTTTCTGATGGTGGGAGGATTATACACATCTCTGAAGGCGCTCATCGACATCTACAACGATCCTGATAGCACCTTAAACGGACCGTTCACTTGTGCGGATAATAGCATATTTTAGATGATACCACTTAGTTAAATCAGTATTCTTTCACACGACATTCATATCTCGAGTACATGCAGTCCGCCGCAAAGTGTTTGGGGACTGGCGCCGTGCAATTTGCTCAAGGGAACTTGCCGTTTCCCAACAGTGTTTGACAACAAACAGATGTTCGTGGGGCAGTAGTGGTAGCGGTCATGGCTCTACGCTAGAGAGACTAGGCTATAGGAACCCTTGGTATACCGCCCAACGTTGTGGACGCTCTAGCTGTTGGTTTTCTGCCTCATCCAAGACTAGCTGCCGGATCCGCTAAGATGCCATGACATCTGAACGGTGTCAAGCTGGAGAGAGCGCTGCTTACCAGGTGGAGATAAGCGGCAACAAGACTTTTGCACCGACAAGTGGAGAGGAAGATTAAGATACATGGAAGACTAGCTGAACAGGGATGGAGAGCACAATTGTCAATGCTACCGAGTAAGTATCTTGGCAATAGAAAAGAAGGCTGAATCGGTACGAACCTAGAAAGAGCCTCATAAAGTGGGAGTGGTTTCCCGGTGGCTGAATACCATAGTGTCTCCGATGGAATTGCCGAAACCTTTCGTACTCTTCTCGCCAGACACACGCGTCTCAGCAGTAGAGACTCTACATTCAGCTACGGCGTCTCTGACGCTGAGCAGGTATCCAAGTAATAGTGTGAACCAGAGACGATAACCAGAATGACAACAGGAACATGCTATTTCACCGTCGGGGGTAGATTTGAGTTCCAGACTGGGAAATGCCGTTGGGATTTGCCATGTTCTGTACCCCACAGTATCGTTACGATAACCACGCTAGGAGACATCTGGGGGCCCACGGGCAAACATCGGGCTGAGCCTGTCCAATGGCAACCCCGGATCGCTCCACCTCGCGAGAAAAACAACAAGCGTCACGATGTCATGATCTCCGCAATACTTGGTCCTCGGTTCGGGGAATATTCACTATTGGAGCTTATACCGTCATACCCCGGATTCGAGACGGAGCGGCAGATGTCTAGTCGCGCAGTACGACACAGACTATGTCCCCGTCACGAGGCTACTTAGCAACAGCGAGCTAAAGCTTGTCAGTATAAAGCATGGCTAACCTCAGCGATGCTCCGGGTTGATCACACCAGTCATTGCAATCGCCTGTCATGTTGCGCAACGCAGCTCTAGCGACCGCGCTGTTCTTCGGCCTAGCAGTCTCCGACGCTGCTGTGCCAACCGCTCAGACGAAGAATGGAACGTACGTCGGCATACACTCTGCCGAATATGATCAGGACTTTTTCTTGGGTATACCGTATGCTCAACCGCCCGTGGGCAGTCTTCGCTTCAGAAATCCTGTTGGCCTCAACACCACCTGGGACGAGACGAAGCCGGCTACGCAGTACTCTACTGAGGTATATGTTTTGATCTATGGTAAAGAACTTGGGCTGACGAATATCGAAGTGCTACGGATATGGCTCTGATCAATGGAACTATCCGGTAGGTGTCAAACTAACCGAGGATTCGGCTTAAACTGACTCGTTACCCATTTCTAGGTCTCGGAAGATTGTCTGTACCTGAATGTTATTCGTCCGGCAGGATGCAGTGAGGATGAAAAACTTCCAGTCGCATTCTGGATACATGGAGGTGGCTTCTTCCAAGGAGGAGGTGTCGATCAGCGCTATAACCTCTCGTTTACCGTGGAGAATGCTCAAAAGATTGGAAAGCCCATCATTGGTGTGAGCATCAACTACCGACTATCTGCCTGGGGCTTCCTGAGTGGAAGCGAAGAAGTCAGGGATACCGGAAACCTAAATCTGGGCCTGAGAGATCAGCGTTTGGCGCTGCAATGGGTACAGGAGAACATCGAAGCCTTTGGAGGTATGTCTGCTCAAGACAAAGTCCGAAGTACATGAGTTAACATGGAACAGGCGACCCCGAACAAGTGACTATATATGGCGAGAGCGCTGGTGGAGCATCCGTTGGATTCCACTTGACAGCCTACAGCGGACGTGACGACAAGCTCTTCCGTGGTGCTATCATGCAGAGTGGCAATCCCATCAACTTCGGGCCTCTTCCGGACCCAGCAGTAGGCTATGCCGACATGTACAGCGAGCTCACTCGCCGAACCAACTGTGCAAACACTACCAGTCCGCTCGAATGTCTACGTCAGTTGCCTGCTGAGCAGCTAAACACTGCTCTCAACACCACAACTCCGACCTTCAACATAACGAACTTCATGCCTTGCCTGGATGGTGACTTCATTCAGAAGCGCACCTCTCTTCAGCTTGAAGCCGGCGAGTTTGTGCATGTTCCAATTATCTCAGGTGCCAACTCGGATGAAGGTACAGCATTCAGCCCTCAGCCTGTAAACTCTACCGAGGATCTTCGTACCTTCATCATGGCGAGCGGAGTTCCTGCCAATCTGACAGAGCAGCTACTTGCAGCGTACCCTGACGATCCTTCCGTCAATGTTATCGCAAGCTTGGGTAACCTCACCCTAGGCCCGGCATTTGGAGCGCAGTTTCGCCGCTCAGCGTCATACTTTGGCGACCAAGTCTTCATTGCCAATCGTAGGTTGACATGTCAGACATGGGCTGCTGCCAATGTGTCAGCATACTGTTATCGCTTCAATGCGATCCCGGCTGGCCTCCCTGCTGCAGTCGGTGTCACGCACTTCCAAGAAGTCGCATTCGTATTCCTCAACCTACAAGGTGTTGGGTATCGGCCCGCTGCTACTCCTCCATTCGAGAACAAGACCGAGAACTACCGTGACCTTTCAAGGTTCATGAACAGCAACTGGGTCAGTTTTATCCATGATCTCGATCCCAACTCGTGGAGGGAGACGTACGATTTCAATGGAACAGAGCCCATGTGGCCTCGGTACGATAACGCTAATCCAATGGACTTTGTGTTCGACGCCAACGTGACGAGCTATGCGGAACCGGATACGTACAGGAAGGAGGGCATGGAGTTGATCAACGCTCACAACTTTGACGTTTACCAGCGATGAATAAACACTCGCTCTAGTACATAGCACTTGACAGCTCAAATGATTATTCATACAATTTTCTGACAGCATGCGGTCTTGGCGACATCCGTGATTCTCCACTCTGCCGGCATGCGTCTTTGTCTCCCTTGTTTTCAATTATATAGATTGGGATGCTGGAGGTGAAGACTATAGAGTAGAAGCGAGGCGGACCAGTGATGCAACGCGACGTCGTCTTACTCGTTAGCGTGAAGCTAGGGCCAGAATCGCGGCTTCTCTCCGAGTGATTGTCATGCGGCAACGGGCTATCCGTCTGCTCAACGAGCACAATCGCATCATTCTTAGTTACCCAGTCCCAGTCGCGGAGCTTGCTAGAGCAGGATGGATGCGCCAAATCCGCCAAACGGTCAACCGAGCGCTGGCAATGGCACGCCAAATGCGATCGGCGGCGCAGCCACTATGTCCGCTCCTCCGCATCCACATGCAGAAGCGCAATCGACAACGCCCATGCCACCTACATGGTCGTCACAAATGTCTACCTTTCCCACAAATAGCGGCGCTACCGGAGGCCCAAACTTTGCCCAGTATTCGGCATCCACCGCTGCGATTCTTGAACGCCTCCAAGGAAAGAATGGACATGCCGCCGGAAGTGCTGCCTTCGAGGCGAAGCGGGCAGAGATCTTGCAGAGTTATGTTACTAGCGACAAACTACCAACGCCTCCGCCGGCTGCGAGTACTGGACGTAGAGGAAGAGGGGGGAGAGTCAGCACACCAAGTGGACTGAAGACGGAAGTTGGCGCATCACCTTCGGGCCCTTCATCTGGTCGTGCATCTGGCAGAGGGCGCGGACGGGGTCGTGGAGGGCGTGGCGGACGCGGGGGCAGAGGCGGCAAGCGGAAACGTTCCGAGAGCGACGAGGAGAGCGACGTCAGTCATTGTCATGTGCTTTGAGACGGCATACTAACGTGGTGTAGAACGACAACGACGACTCCGATGTCTCCGACTCGTACACTCCACTACCCACACGAACCAAGTCCGGCCGAAGTATAAACAAGCCCGTCGCATTCGTACCCGTTATTCCGGAGCCAGCCCAAGGCGTTAAGCGGAGGAAGTCGACCAAGACCCTACTTGCTGCAAAGTGCAAGACCTGTCATCGAGAGACCGATCCGTCCAACAACCGGATAGTGTTCTGTGATGCGTGTAGTACCGCATATCACCAATACTGCCACAATCCGCCAATCGACAACGAGGTTGTCACTGTGCTTGAGAAAGAGTGGCTATGCGGACCATGTATACGGGCCAAGCAGACAGTCGTGGAAGGCGCACAGAATCTGATCGCGGCCGAGGACTTGACTATAGATGAGGTATGCGTATGCCATAGCATAGGCCAGATACAGGCTAATACTAGCAGAAACGCGCATACTTCAATACGCTCCCACAAAACCAACTAGTCGGCCTCCTCCTAACAGCCACAATTCGACATCCAGAACTGCCCATATTTCCCCCCAATATAAAGAATCTCATGACAAACTTCTCCGCTATCAAGTCGGAAATGCCCCAGCAACAACAACCTTCCGCTACCCACCACTATGCTAATTATCAACCCCCACCAAACTTCAGTCTCGCCCAAATGACCTCGCCCCCAGACGGCCACACAACAACACATCACACACCGCAATTCTCGTCGCATTCACACTCGGAGATGGACCCTGCAGAAGCACAGCTCCTTGGCGAAAGCAGCCACCAGCCGCGCACGACCATAGACCTGGCCGGCAACCAGTACGAAGAAGACGATGGTTACGACACCGATCCGCCAGCACACTACCCCAAAGCTGGCAACGGACTCGCACGAACACTACGCCCAGAGAGCGAAGACCTGAATTGGCTCGTCGACGACAACTTTGAAGTGTTTAGCCATGGGTGGAAGGGAGACGGGACGGGCATGGGCGCCGATGGTACAATGGACGCTATGGACGGACAGAAAGTAGTCTAGGATACTGCTGGAGAGGTGTTAGCAGAGAGTAGTGGTGAAGAACTGACGGATATGGATGAAGATGACATTGAGCGATTAATTGCTGATGCTATAGTCCAAGCGCAAGTTTGACTCAAACCAGGCGGACGCTCTTGAAGCACGCTTACACTAATACAATCCAACGATGCGATCATCCAACGATCGTGTAGTCAAAGTGAAACAAGATTCGATTAAATAAAGGCGTGGTATCTCGAGAAACATAGCTAAGCAAGAAACAGGTCTGAAAGTACCCCTATTACCCCCATACCAGAAGATTAATAATGCAGTAAACGCCATCCATGCATGCTCTCATCATGAAGCCGTTAACGTCGTCGCTCATTCATCATCGATGCTCAATCCGCCCATCGCGCGTTCAGGATCTTCCCACTTCTTACTCTTAAGAATCCTCATCTTCTTCACAGGGCTCGCAGATCTTTGCTGCGTCTCACGCTCTTTGGCTTCCAACTTGGCCCGTAGCATCTCGTTTTCACGTTCCAGCTCATCGACCCTGTCTCTGAGTTCTGGATCTGGGTCTTCGTAAACCTTGATATCTTGTTTCATCTGTGCCTTTGTTGCTCGGATGACGACGTCGACCTTGGCATCTATGTGTGCTTGCTGGTTGTCTTGCTCGTTGTCCAGGGCAGCTTGCCATCTACGACGTTCTTGGTCGACGGCTGCTTCCATCTCAAGATAACATTCGTCGCGAATTTCCTGTTCAAGGTCCACCATGTGGTCTTCGGCTGCGGCCCAAGACGATTCGGCTGCTTTCCGGCGAGCTGTCTCTTCGGAGAGGCGAAGGGCGAAGATTTCCATTTCTGCTGTGAGGCGTGCGATCTCGGCGTTGGCATATTCGAGCTCTTCCATGACGACCGAAGGAGTTGTACGGCCCGAAGGAGTCGCGCGGCCTGACGAAGCTGTACCAGGACGCTTGTGTGGCGCACCAGAGAAGATCGTGTCTGAGGTAGACGGCATCCGCGGCACGGTGACCTCACGAGCCAGGGCTGAGTAGCGAAGGATCTGAGATGTGGCGTTGTAGTCGCCTTTGGGGTCTGCAGTTACGACCATGATGGACTTCTGAGGCTGGCGGTGCGATTGTGCTTGGCGGGCAGAGGCAGGGAATGAGTTTGAGAAAAGCAGTTCGGTAAGCTTGCATTGACGGAATGGCACAATGTTCTAGACGCATGTTAGTCGACGAATTACAGACATGGATACAAATATGTACCTTAGAGCCTCCTTGGTTATCGGACTGCATCTGCATACACTGACCCAAATACATGAGGGACTCGTTGATTTTGCCAGCTTCGGCAAGTGTCTCGCCCGCAGTTTTGGCATTTCGGGCGCGTTCTGATCCTGCCAGGTCAACGATGGTGAGGTTACTGCTTGACCAGGGACCTTTGCGTTCTGCAGCCCTCTTCTTGATCTCGACATGGAAGAAGCCATGGCTTCGCGAGCTCACAGCATTGCTCCCAGTACCAGTGACTTTGCGCTCCATGAGACCAGTCTCCAGTACCATCATGGCTTCTTCGAAGCTTCCGCAGATGATCTTGGTGAGACCAGCAACAACTTTTCGATCTGGACTTTTCTCAGTATTCTTGAAGAGCAAAGCCCTTCGTTTTACGTTTGGCTGCTTGTTCTTTGCCGTGTTCCCGCTCAACAGATCGAAGATGCGGTCGTTGTATACCTCGTACATGGACATGACGATGGCATATTCTGCGTCGGGGTCTGTGGGTATCTGGACGTCGGCGACAGAAGGCGACGATGGTAGCGTTGACGGACGTGGCATCTTATTTGATTTGTACGTGCTTCCTGTGGAGAATATACTACAGTCCTGTTGTGTGTGTTAGCTGTTGTTTGTGGAAAAGTGCCATGCAGAGCTTCCTGTATCAACTTACTGCCATGGGAGTCTGCGCTCGTGAGTAGCGTCCAGACTGTTCGTCGCCGTACATTGAGTCGATGTATGCGGTTGCTGTGAACATTTGCGCTTCAGAAACATCTGCTGCTGCCAGTGAAGAGAACGCCGGAGCACCATAGAAGGACTGTACAAGCTGCTCGTCGCATGCTTGGAAGATAGTATCCAGCGTCATCTGGACAAGGCCGCGCTGGGACTTGGTACCAAGGATCGTATGACTCTATAATCACATCAATATAAGAAGTTCGGACTGCTCTTTTCCATTTATATGTACCTTGCCCGATCCAGTGCAGCCCAGGGTTGCCAGCAGTCCATCTCGCCCGTGGTGGCCTGGTGTGCCCATGACGCCCTCAATCATGGGAACCACACCAGTGCCCTTGAACAAATCCATTTGTCGCGCATCTTCCTCAAAGACTTGTGTAAAGGCGAATCGTTCAACAGCACGCTTGCGCTTGTCTTGGGTAGGCGGTTGTATGGTGATGTGCGTGGCATGGCTGCTTTCGCTCTCTTCGACGTTGAGGAAGCGCGCACTCCCAGAGCTGGATGGGCGCAGACGCAGAAAAACATCGAACAACGAACTCGAGGGTCGCGACGGAGGCTCCATGTTTGGTTGTGTTTATTTCGTCTTTGGAGATGCAGGCCAAGTGTCAGTCGACTGTGGTGCACCAAATCCATGTGGAGCTGCTCGTGCGCGCGCGTGTCGGTCAACATGGCCAGAACGCCGTTGCCCTGGACAACGCGCCACCCATGACACGCTATGACGCAGTGACATGTGACAAAGAGCGGGGGTGCGGAGTGCAACCAGATTCACTGCTACATGGCCTGATACCAGCCTACCCATTGGAACAGAAAACACCCCAAATATCATTAGATGTATTTCCCTGGTTGCTTTCGCGAAACATGGACAGTCTACCTGTGACCTATTGGAGATTGACTATGGCGTCCTCAGCCCAAGACATGAGTTGCAAGACCAGGAATGGATCTATGTGACAACTCCTCCACTGCGCAGACCTTCCACCTCTTCTTGACTCATACCCAGTGTTTCACCAAGTATCTCGTCCGTATGCTGGCCCAGGGTGGGTGGAGGAAGACGTATGCCAGGCATCGAATCGGACCATTTCACGGGCGTGTTGACTAGTTTGATAGGTCCGCATGCTGGGTGATCTACTTGCTTGACCATGTCTCTTGCGAGGACTGCGCAAAGCATTAATACACAGAAAGAAACCTACACTAAGCAAAGATTGCAGACATACCGTGTTCGTGGTTCAGTGTATCCTGTACGTCGTTGATAGCAGCGTATGCTATATTCGTTAGTCAAGAACAATTGGGCATATATTTGATGGTACTTACGCATTCCGCTTCCCTCTAGCAAGTCTAGCAAGTCCTGCGTACTCTTCTTTCTCGTCTCTTTTTCAATAAGTTCCTCCAATTCATCCCTGTGTTGAACCCTCAATGCGTTCGTCTTGAATCTGTCATCAATAATCCATTCAGGCTTTCCCAGCTTGTTACATAGCACACCATACAGTCTATCGTTACCCCCTCCCAGCAAGATATCCCCGTCAGACGTCTTGAAGGCTTTATACGGTACGATCGACGGGTGTGAGGTCCCCCAGCGCCCAGTGTCGCGCTTCCCACTAATGAGGCAAGAGCTGGCGATATTTGCTAGTGTGGCAACTTGGCAATCTGACAAGGCGACGTCGATATGTTGGCCCTTGCTGCTTGGGTTTCTCAGGCGCCGGAAGAGAGCAGCGATGATGGAGTTGGAGGTGTAGAGACCGGTCGTGAGATCGGTTACTGCTACGCCTACTTTTACAGGTGGCCCATCACGAGCTCCAGTTATATGCATTAGACCCATTTCGCTGAGAAGTGTTAGCATCAGTCGCGCTAAAGAAATATAGCGTCGGAAAAATGTACGCTTCAACCATGACATCGTAGCCTGCTCTGTTTCTGTACGGTCCAGTCTGTCCGTAACCTGTGATGCTGGCGTAGATGATACCCGGATTGATCTTTGAGACGGTGTCGTAGTCCATGGCGTACTTTGCCAGAGATCCCGGGAGGTAGTTCTCAACGAGCACGTCACATTCCTTGACCAGGCGATGTAGAATGTCTACACCAGCTGGATGCTGGAAGGACAGGCCTATCGACCGCTTGTTGCGATTGACCTACTCTTGGTGAGTTTAAATAGCCAGGGGTTCACGATTACACTGACGCCCAGGTAGTATGCACTCTCTCCCGGCCCTTCTTGCTCATCGGTGTACTTGGCGTAGGGCGGCCCCCATGCTCGTGTGTCATCTAGGCATAGCAATTAGTTTGGAAAAAGTATCATGATGTATGCCTCCGCTTACCTCCCCTTGTTGGATGTTCGATCTTGATCACGTCCGCTCTATCACATTGTCAATCTAGGAATCTTGCAGAATGCCAACCTTAGTTGTTGGTCCGTACAGGGTCATCCGTCGCATACCCAAGATCACCTAGTATTTGCGTGCAATACGGCTGCTGAATATTAGAAGGATTTGTCGTCGTTTCATAAGCTACGACTTACTCCAGCGAGCACTCTTGTCATGTCAAGGACTTTGATGCCGGCAAGAGGTAGATTAGACGCATCTGCACTCGATGCCGCAGTTGCTAGTTGTCGAACATGGCCAGGTCGTGTTCGATTGGACCGTAAAGCCGACAGGCTCGTCTGGAAAGCACAGCTTGAGCGTCTCAATAACATGTTTGTCATTTTAGGTTGAAAGAAGGTACAATCACGACATGTGCCTGGTGACGGAAATGTTTCCACGGCATAGCTAGGTGTTCCCGAAGATGAGCTAGCCAGTTCCGAGGCTCATCGTTAGCTGCAGAACCCCACCAACTTTCTTTCTCCAATTACCCACACCCCACCATGTTTACTGGTCTCGTTGAAACCATTGGCAGTAAGCAACGATGCATTGTCCTTTGCGTTCGGCTCGGCTGATAGTGGCTAGCTGTTGCCGCCCTTGAGAAGCTCGACCAGACGGCCTCGGGAGGCGGCGGGACATCGTTGACCATTTCCGGATGTGAAGACATACTGGGTGACGCCCATTTGGGTGACAGTATCAGCGTCAATGGTATGCTCGCACTAGTCTGATGGAACTCATGGTCTGATTCGGCTAGGAACCTGTCTCACCGTCACCGAGTTCACCAAGTCGTCATTCAAGATTGGATGCGCTCCCGAAACACTCCGGCGCACAAACTTGGGGTCGCTGCAAGAGGGCTCCAAAGTCAACCTGGAGCGCGCTGTCTCTGCAGACACGCGCATGGGCGGCCACTTCGTCCAGGGCCATGTCGACACCATCGCCACCATCGAGTCCGTCACGCCCGACGGCAACGCCCTGACTTTCCGCTTCAAACCTCGCGATACTTCGGTGCTACGATACATTGTTGAGAAGGGCTATGTTACCATAGACGGAGCTAGTTTGACTGTAACCAAGGTGCAAGATGGGCCTGAGGGTTGGTGGGAGGTCATGTTGATTGCCTATACCCAGGAAAAAGTTATCACGGCTGGCAAGAAGCCAGGCGACGATGTCAACGTCGAGGTAGACCAGGTCGGCAAATACGTGGAGAAGAGCGTGGCTGGATACTTTGAGGGATCGTCAAACGGCGAATTTGCGATACTGGAGAAGATGGTTTCAAAATTAGTCGACGAGAGACTGAAGGCTCTTGGGAAGTCATAGACACGCTTGTTGGACAACCAGCGACTGCCAAGTCAATAGATCGGCCGTCAATGCCGTAGAAGTCATGGTCCCACACTAGTAGCCAACCAGAACAAAACAATGCGCTTCGACTGTACACATGGTTGCCTTGAAAGGGGCTCATGGGGATGACTTGCAGCCCCATTGTGGTGGCTTGGACAAAGTGAGGCGCAGCTTTGCTCCTTGTCCAGCACGTATATATTGAGATGACTATCCAATATTCATCTTGAAACACTCGCAGTCATTTTGCGCATGTCCCTTCAAATGGCAAAACTTGAGAGATTGTGATTTACGTCCGGCCGTTGATACCTAGCTCGCGCGTGGTGCCTTTGTGCCTGTCAACCAGTTGACAGCTGTCAAGCCGCACATCTTCACGTAACCACAGCTTCGACATCTCTATCGACTGTTGAACGACTATTGCTTACATTGCAGGACTAGTCCATGCCATAGTGGAGCAAGTTAGGCAGAAAACCGTTCCGCAGCGCCAGTAGCCGACATGCAGACGAACGATGTCATAAAGTCGGATGCACTGGACACTTCGATATTCATCGTCACGCGAATCGGTATGATGCAAAGGATCTTCTTCTCCTGACAGCGCAGCGCTGCAGCCGTTGTGCCGGAGTGGCGCCTCCGGTTGTCCAGAATAGCATGTTACCCCAGCATCGCAGCACAATTGCGTACAGAAAGCCGGCACTATGGAATTCCAGTCCCTAAAATTGGGGGCCAAACTGGTTGAACAGAAAAGTTGTGTGAAAGAGGAAGCGAGGACTGCGGGCTACATGCAGGCTTGGTAAGGGATTTTGTCGGCATAGGTCATTGGCTTTCTCACCGGCGAGCTGCTGCATAAACACGTCAAGAGCCGACCCTCCTCAAGCGCGCATGCCACCAGAGGTCTACCCCAGACGCTCAACTCGTAGCACCATCGCTTGAGCGACTTCTTGTCCCTTTCTCGCCGATTCTCAGGCGTCTAAAGCATGCGTTGCTACTAATCTTTCGTTTCGGCTATCTACCCTGGCACGCACTCCATCATGGACTGGCGACTTCTCGACTACGCCAAGGAAGCTGAAGAGACCGCAGCAGGCCTTCTCTCGTTCGAAGGAGAAATTCCGCAATATCGCAAGGACATCAGAAGCCATATTGCTGAACTATTCGCCATATCGCACGCTCTGCATGAATTGCATGATGCATTGCAATTGTCCCGCTATGGCAGGTACGCAGGCCACATCCTGAAGGATCTAGAGGTTTGCCTTCCAAGCTTGGGCTACACGCTTGACGACGTGCAAGATATCTTCAATAGGTCCAAGAAGAGCAGACACGCTGCACCAGGTGCTTTTCCGGGCACACCACCATACGCAATTATCTGGGAAGATGCGCTTGCGGACTTCACCTCACAGGGCATGTCCCTGCCCAAAAGATTCGAGACCTTTAGAACGTATCTACAGGGTATGCATGATGCTTTGAAAGGGTAGGTACTAGTAGAAAGGCACTCTAACAGAATGGCTAACTGGCTCCAGGGAGGATGATGAGGCAGAATTGGCTAAATTCAAAGTTCTACTATCAAGATTACTCAAGAAGCAAAAGCCAATGCCGGTCGAATCCTACTTCAGTAGACTTTCGGTACACGGCAATGGGAAGGGCGTTGCTAGGACGCCGCAGCCGCCTTCTCCTAAAGTACCCAGACCGAAGATACACCAACACCCTACGTATCCGGCGCCTCAGTACGCATATCAAGCACCGCAGCTACCACTACCCCATCGATCTCATATTGCACCGACGTGGGGAGGCATAGGAGACATACCGTTCGTCCCACCACCGGTTCCAGAGATCCCTCAGTCGCCCACATATTCGTCTGCATCATCACAGGCTTATTCAAGTCAGTCGACAGACTCTGAGCCGGTCGCTCACTGGGCAATGAAGATATTCGATGGTCGCCACGGTTCCACTCCTTTCCAAAGCCCTGCAGAGCGCACCAAGTGCTTTGGACGAGACGAGCCCCGAGTAATTGAGATGCTAGATAGCGATGGTTTTGAGAAGGTCTTGGAATTACCGTTCGAAGCAACAAATGTCTGGGTAAGGATATACTGGAGAGCTGATGACAACCGCGCACGAATACTCTTCCTCACTATGGATCCTGACGGACATCGCCTGAGACACCAGATCCCAATCACCGCATTGGCACTCCGGCGTGCAGGATCATCCTTGCGGCTCTGCCGGGTCAACCGTGAAGACGGTCGACTTGACCTATGGGCTAGGTTGCGCTTCCCTTTATATGAGCGTGAGTAGACTTGAACTGATGATGCAAAATATTCTGATATTCTCTTAGGCATGGTGTTGTTTTACTGCACCGCCATTGCTATGAAGCGTCAAGATCAAACCGGTATTGCAGAGGGACTGGAAGATGTTTTCGTGCCCGGGGAGAAGATTGTGTTTTCTGGGTAAGTGGGCAGTCGTGGCTTCCTATATCATGCTGACGCTGTTCAGTGAGACGACTGATAACAGGTATCTCCATGCCTTCCGCATCTACTATGACACAGACTCTGGCTGCGTACGATTCGAGGCTACTGCTCGCCGTGGGCCGCTAAACACGATCCCTATCTGGACTGCATTCGTTACGCAATATGTTGGACGTAGTGACTGGATGAAGCGCGTTGGTCCCGATACAATCCAGTTTGAGAAGCTGCATCCGTATGTTTTCAGTGATGGCTACAGGCTACCCAAAGGCTCTACGGGCAAATACCGGTTGACCTTTACTTCATCAGAAGGTACGTCACTTTCATGCTGCTTACACCGGTGACCGGCCGAAACTGACATGTTGGCTAGATGCGAAGCATTTCAGAGACAGTTTCCATAACATCCGAGTCTGATCGGCTTTGGGATAAAGCCAGCGCAGCACTCTTCCCTTGACAGACCTGTCCGACACTCGCTGATACATGACGACGTTACGAACAAAACTCATTCACGACTAACGACATGACCTAAACGAAAACACACGACGTAACGACGAGGGCGGTTTCTGCTTTCTGGCACGATATACCCCTCTCAGTGCTTTCTCTAATTCGATCTCACAAATTGCCACGTATCTCTTAATTCTACAAGTAGCTCCACTGTATTTATTGCACTTAGTATAATGGTTCAGAAACGTTGTTTTGCGAGGCGTGGGATCAGCAGTGAAAAACGAAATCGTCGTGGTGTCATGCCTCTTTAAGCCTAGCTTCCAAAGTCTCAGATGCCCCGCTTTCCGAGATTGAGACCCTGGTGTTGAGTCTGTGCTTGGTACTACCAAAACCAAAATTTCCCTATCCTAACTTTTGACCGCAACTGCGCCAGTTTCTGTTCCCTCACTTTTGTTTAATCACAATCCACCTCCTTCTCTTATCCGAGTACCAAAATGGCGAACCAACAAGAAGCCGGAAAGAAGGACCCCCTCACGGGCATGGCGCACTCTGAGGCGCATTACTTCAACAGGTAGGCATATTTCGAGGGTCCAAATACACGCAGAGTTTCGCTAACATTGTTGCCTGCAGTTACAACCACCATGGTTCGTACCGAGTCGCTCCGATGATATGACTGATACTAATGCGCGTGTCAAGGCATCCACGAGGAAATGCTGGTACGACAGCCCCACCCTGCCCTCTCAGGCTGCTCCTCGCAGCGATTGCGACGCATGGCTAACGGTGTGCGTTTAGAAAGATGAGGTGCGAACCAAGAGCTACCGCGATGCCATCTACCAGAACCCCCACCTTTTCAAGGACAAGGTCGTCCTTGACGTTGGATGCGGTACATCCATTCTCAGCATGTTTGCGCACCCCACCCTATAGCACGCGAGCATGCGTTGATACAATGGTTTAGGTTCGCCGTAAAGGCCGGCGCAAAGCATGTCATTGGTGTGGACATGTCGACCATCATCGACAAGGCCAAGGAGATTGTCGAGGTCAACGGCATGTCGGACAAGATCACCCTGCTCCAGGGCAAGATGGAGGAGGTCGTACTACCTTTCGACAAGGTCGACATTATAATATCCGAGTGGATGGGCTACTTCTTGCTCTACGAATCCATGTTGGACACGGTTCTGTACGCACGCGATAAGTACCTTGTCAAGGACGGCTTGATCTTCCCTGACAAGGCCACCATCTTCATGGCTGGTATCGAGGATGGCGACTACAAGGAGGAAAAGATTGGATGTAAGCAATGCACAACTCCGACTCTCATAAAATTTTGCTGACTCAAGCAGTCTGGGACAACGTCTGGGGCTTCGACTACTCTCCCCTCAAGGCAACCGCCATCACCGAGCCCCTCGTCGACACCGTCGACATCAAGGCCGTCGTCACCGACCCTTCGCCCGTCATCACCCTTGATCTCTACACTTGCACTGTCGCCGACCTCGCTTTCCGGTTACCGTACGAGCTCAAGGTGCGTCGTAGCGACTTTGTCCACGCCGTCATCGCCTGGTTCGACATTGAGTTCGCCGCCTGCCACAAGCCCATCCGCTTCTCCACCGGTCCCCACACAAAGTACACTCACTGGAAGCAGACAGTCTTTTACCTCAAGGATGTGCTCACAGTCGAGGAGGGCGAAACCATTAGCGGCATTCTAGAGAACAAGCCCAACGAGAAGAACCACCGCGATCTGGACATTAACATCTCATACAAGCTCGAGTCGAGCGATATGCACAGACAAGCGTCTGGCGAGGCCCAGTACAAGATGTGCTAGTTGGTGTCTTGCGTGTACAGTGAGATTTGGGACGGCGTCACTACCGTTCGGGCAATGAGACGCCTGTGTCTTACATGATAGACTTAATCGGCGTTTGGGCAAGGGTTTCGCATACCAAAAATTTAGGGTAGCATGAGCATGTGTGAATGAGTTACGAAGCAGGGACCAATCTATCATTGGGAATTCCTCCCCTACAACCAATATTGCTGTCCTCGACTATGAGACGTGATGTATGAGCCAAGACTTCCAACTATGCATGAGCGACAGATGAGAGATATAGGTACCATTGGAAGAAGGCTAAACTCCGTTACTACGATGCTATGTTACGCTTGCAAGCGGGGGTATATATGTATGCAAAGCTTAAATCCCAATAATGCTCCGCTTCTAACTGCCTAGCCAATATGGCTGCGAAAAAAAAAGCTCTCAAGTACGCCGTGCATGATCACCATGATATCCAGTAGACCTTTTCGCCAATGAAGCTCAACCTAAATCGCCAATCTTCTGATATACTTGAACCGAAACTGCCCACAATACACTGCCGTTCACTTCTAGTAGTCGTAGCTTTCATTACCAAACCCTTCATCGTCGTCTTCCAGGTAGTTGTGCTCCAAATCTTCTTCCTCTTCTGCCTCTTGCATCTCCTCCTCCTCCTCTTCTTCTTCTTCTTCCTCACCCTCCGCATCAACGTTTGTAGCCTGCTGTACAGCACCTGGTGCGTTGGAAGACGGACTGGCACCCTGTCCACTACCAGATGGACTCGCTGAAGTTTGGCCACCGGGGAATAGCTCCTTGAGCCGATCGTAGTTGATGTGATTACTGAAAGCTTTGGCGCGCTTCTTAAGCATCTTGTGAGCAGCGTCCGCTGCACTAGTTGCCGGCTGGCCTTCAAGAACATTACCGTCACCCATTTGGTGGTGTTTGCGCTTCTGCTTGGGTTTCTTGGGCTTGTCTTCCGCGGCTTCAAGTTCGGCTTCCAACATCTTCGTCTGTTGGGCGCGCAGCCAATCTTCGTTTTCCGTGATCCAGATAGCTTCCTTGCGGCGGACTTCTTCCGGGGCAAGGATGCAGGTCGCAACGTCTGGGTCATCATTGAATTCGTCTTCACCGACTTCAGGATCCAAACTCACGGGGACGACATCGCGGGTGTCAGCAGCAACGCGGGCCATCTCTGCTGCTGTCCAACCAGAGCGCCTAAGAAGCTCGTGGTCTTCGCTGTTGGCGATCTCCTTGAAGATACCCTCCCAATCCTTGATGGTGCTTGTGACTTCATCCTCCAGATCCTGCTCAATTTCAAGATCTTCTTCGTCGATGACGACGGGTACCCGTTTCTTTGGTGGTCGGCCACGCTTCTTGGGCATGACAAAGTCTGGATCGGTGGTCTCACCAGCCTCAAGTTCTTCAACTGCAGAAGCAACCGACTCCACAACCGCCTCGTTGTTACCATCGAACGCTTCTATTTCAGCAGACGGATCGCTGTCCTGTGTGCCAAGGGTTTCAGTTTGTGTTCCGGCCGGTTGAGACGAACCATCATTCGACTTGCGCCTCTTGCTTGTGCGTTTTGGTGCTGTATCCTCGCCTGGTTCAACTTCGCTACCGGCTGACTCGTTCTGTGGAGATGCAACATCACTTCCTTCACGGGCCCGTTGCTTCTTTTTCTCCTTGCGCTCTTCCTTCTCTGCGCGCCTCCAGATGGCAGGAGGCTGAGCCTTAACCTTGAGGCGGGGTCCAAACTCTCGGAACTGATTGACCGTCAGAGCCGCGCTCTGTGTTCTCTTGTATTCGTATAAGCGGGATGTGATGGTAGAATCGGCGACCTTGACTACGTAGACGACCTCTCGAATGGTTCGACGGAAGTTGTTCATACGGGCGGCTATGATGATACAAGCACCGCAAAGCCCAGCCGGCTGACGACCTTGTACCATCCAATCTCGGTTCATTCGCTTGAGGACCTTACAGGCGTCGTCGGCAACTCTGTGAGAGTCATCCCCAAACTCCAGTTTTCGACAGTACTTTAGCATCAAAGGCTCGATCTCCTGGACGGCCTTGGTGCCCACAAGCTGTGCTGGATCCTCCTCTTTTAGCATCTCCAGAAATTGTTTGTACGTATCTCCCAAAGCCCAGACATTTGTTTGAATCTTCTCGGCCAAGTCGATAAGCATAAGCGTATTCTCGGGTTGTCTCCGCGCAGCCATGTAGATGGAGACAGCAGCGACGTTCCTCATGCGGCGACCTTGAATGAATCTATGGTTCATGGCGAGCTTGTACCACATGAAGGCTTGCTCTATGACGGCCTCGCGCTGATTGAGAGATGCGCCGAGAGCTTGGATAGAATTTTTGCCACTCATCGCAGCCTGTTCCCTGCTCTCCATGCCGCCCAAGCCTCGCATAGTCCCGCCCATGGAGTTTGCATGTCGCTGGTTCGCGTGGATGAAGCCACCCTCGACAATGGCTGCTCCGCCTGAAGTTTCGCCAAAAGTAACCTCGGAGACGATGTTGCTTTCGTTGTGGACATGACCGCAGTTGTAGCACATGACTTCATTGTCTGAAGTGTCGATTTGGGGGTCGGAACAGCAAGTGTATGTGCGTTTGGCGGCTTGGGGCGCAGCGACCTGAGGCGCCTGTCTTCGTTGCGTTGCTTTGGACTGGTAGTGATAGGAATCGTTGAGGCCCCGAAGCCGCTGGACCGGCGCCCTTGCGACCTGGGGTGCCGACATTTTGCGCGTACTCGGATATGTGGCGTGGGTGCAAACGAGTGTTGAGTCGACTCGGACGAGAAACTATTGAGGGTAAGAAATAGAGTCGAGCCAGCACGAATAAGACGCGGTACCGCGGGAGGGGCAGCACTAGCCATGACTGGCGCCAAGTGGGGTACGCTTTCCCCGTTACGGCCTTGAGCTCTGCACCTTGAGCTGCGAACACCTAGCCAACACGGCGACTTTCACCCTAGTCACAGATGTACACATCGGGCTCTCGGTCGTAGGGACGGTTTCATGTGCATCGCAATGCAGCTTCACGATGGAAGCGAACCGATATGACGTTCTTCTGCGCTTGCATACCATTTCTTCGATTGCACTGCATCGCCAGCGTGTCCACATACTCGGGCATGTTTAGGTACATAGCTTTCAGATATAGGCCAATCTAGCAGGATGCCATCGACATGTAACCTTCGAGTCCTCCTGACAAATCGTCCAAGTCAACCGATACCTCCTTGCGTGGTACCTGCAGCAAAGCAATAGCAGCGCAACGCTTGTGTGCCCTCATCCCGGGGCTCCAATGCGGGTGATGACCACATGGCCAATGATTGGCTAACCACAACACACCCGAACAGCCCGAACTAAGCCATTGAGCAAAAGCCCGCAAAAGCCCTGGTTTCCCAGCCTCCTTGATAGGGCTTGCGTAGGTTGTGTGTATTTCATCCGGGCCCCCGTCTCTGGGCCCCCGCTCGCAAGCTTCTCCATAGCTTCCAGCTCTCGCCCTACCCCAAAACACTACTTTGACCTACCAACTTTTGCCAATTTGCCCCAGAACAATACTATGTCTACAAGAAAGAGGAAGAACGAAGAGGAGGAGCTTGTCGCCCTCCCAAGTGACGAGAGTGATGAGGAAGAAGAGTAAGTGAGCACTTCCTTGACGTCATGGCTCTGTACCTCCCGTCGCATGCACCTTTCTTACTGGCATTGAACCGCTCTTTATCATTTGAGCGAATTCATGCCTTTGGTCCCGCTTCCAAGCTCTACCCAAGTTTTGCATACATCGAAGCGACGTTGCGAGCTTGCTGAGTGACCAGAACAATTGACATGGTCGCGCTCCGCAACAACGCTCCGGATAGCCCCAATTTGGCGTTCCCCTTCGATGCCCACGTCGGTCACAATGTGAATGCTTGTGATCGCAGGCCAATGAGCGTCCTCATCTATGAAACAAGATTAACATTCCGCCTCATAGATACGCCGAATCTGAGGGCTCAAACTTCAATTCCGACGACTCTGACGCCGAAGAGCCCCGTAAGTCATTTCCATCCCTCAACATCCTTGTATCTCATTTCATCTGACATGGCCACAGCACCCAAGAAGAAGACCAAGCGCACCAAGCCCAAAGACGATGAGGATGACGAAGACGAGGAGGAGGAAGACGATGTAAGCGACGATGATGATGACGATGCTGCGGTGCCTGAGGAAGATGACGATGACGATGAGGACGCCAATCCCAAAGCCAAGAAACCAGCTGGCGCAGAGAAAGATCGGAAAGTCAAGACGACGGGCAAGGCTGATCCCGTACCTGTGGTCGACGATGATGATGACGACGAGTAGAGATGTAATGTCCATATGCGTAGTAACCATATAGCAATGCTGGCTGGCGAGATAGAATGTAATGGGCTTCGACTGAGAACTTTGTTCAATTCACATCTATATTCATACTACGTAATAATTTCCTGTTGAAAGTGCTGACTTTCTACACCCATCTTTGATACCTCTTTGTCTGGCGGAACTCCTGCTTCCACTGTGTGTAACGTTCAGACCTCTTTTGCGCAGCCGTCGCGTTTCTTGGAGGGATACTATCCCATGAAACAGCGTACGTAGCCGTCATGTGCGCAATAGCCTTGGTGAACTCAATCCAAGCATCCAGGTTCAGGTTGTTGACTGTATCACCGTCCTCGTGGTAGTTCACATCGTAGGGTACGCCAGCACCGCCACCAAACATTTCGGCTTCTTCTTCAGTCTTGATGCCTTCAGCTCCACCTGCGATACCACCAGCTGCGATGCCAGCTTCAAGGAAGGGGCCATAATCCGAACGACCATCGAATTCAATCTCAGTGTGGTTAAGACCGATGCTGTCAAAGTACGCAGCAAACTCGTGCTCAGCCTCGGCAGATCCAGTAGGTCCACTAAGGTTGTAAGCCGAACCATCGCCGTCGTAGATCTGATAGGCAAAGTTGGGAGATGCCATCATATCAAAGTCAAGCATGAGACGAATCTTGTCCCTCTCGTCTTGAGGCAGCTCATGCACGTAGTATTCGGCGCCTAGCAGACCAGCCTCTTCCGCAGTCCACCAACTGAATCGCACGGCGTTGTTAACAGTGTAGTTGGTAAGCTGGAGAGCAATCTCCAGAATAGACATAGAACCTGAACCGTTGTCGTTGATACCTGGACCGGCTGTAACTGAGTCGGAGTGACCGCTAACATGGATGACGTTGTCGTGGTCACCAGCCTTAGTTTCAGCAATAAGGTTGCGAGTGTTGTAGACGGTAGCGTTTGTCCACATATCCACGGTGATGTCCACGCCAGCTTCAAGTTGGGCGAGAAGGGACTCTCCTTGGCCAAGGGTGATGCCAGCAACAGGAACGAAATCGCCCTCAGGGTACAAGACTTGCAATGAATATCCTTCAAGGGTACCCTCAGCGTTATTCCATGCCACGACGCCGAGAGCACCTTTAGCAGCTGCGAGTTGCACCTTCTCACCGTATGAGCAGTTACCACGCTGGATCAAAGCGAGGGAGCCCTCGAGGGTTTCAGGGAAGTCCTCCTAGGTAGTGTTAATGTTGCTCGTGAAGATGCAGTAATTTGTCTTACCTCATTACATCCAAGACTAGGGATAGCAACAAGCGGGCCAGTCACATTACCGCCTGGAGCAAGCGTCACAGCGAAAGCCTCAATAGTCTTGTTGTTGGCGCTGAGGGTGGCATTGTACCCAATAGAGAGTGGCACATCTTGGGTATATACGTCGTAATAGTCTGAGAACGCTTCAAGTTCCCCTTTGATGTATTCGACCGTGTCTTCGTGGCCCTGGCTGCCAATGACGCGATTCTTGCCGGGGGTACTATATGCAATCTCTTGGAGCTTCTCTGCTCTTGCGTACAAGTTGTCGATGTGAAGAGCGTCGCGCAGAGATTGCTATTGCGCGAATTAGTGGAGAGAAGAGCATGTTGTCATAAATCGCATACCGAATCGACAAGCGTCTTGTACTGACGAGGCTGGATAGCTGCGGCATCTACTGCTGCAGCGCATGCAGCAGCCACGGCGATTGACTTCAAGACAGCCATTGTAGTTGAACAGTGAGCAATGAAAGGCAGTGGTTTTTCGCAACTTGCCGGGTACGTTGCGCAATTTATGCTTGTTACCATGTCTCCATCGCTGTGTCCGGCCCAGCGACCAGGAACATAGATCCTGCTGACGTCTTTGCATACTGTGCTCTTTCGACCTGCTGCATACGGACAAGTTGAGCCGGTAATATACGAAGCTTACGCTGTACCCGCCAATAACGGAGGGGAGCCGAGCGAAGAAGCACACGAGCCATGTCAAGACGTGATAAGAGGCCTTGGTAGGCTTGAAAATGGTGTCGTGCCAAGGATGCCAAGAGCCACTTTACTCTTGTTGTGGTCTTGAAGGAGGAGAATCTTGTCTACAAGACGGCTGGCGGTAGCAAACCGGACGCCAGTGGAGTTGGAAGTCGATCCAGGCCGAGAGGCCGGGCACGAGAACCGAGCTTAAAGATAGTGCAGTTATGTGATGTACAGTTCGAAAAACGTCTTGCAGATGGCAGATGGCAGATTCGGCGGCTGTTGAGCTCGGGGCCAGGTATGATGGGCGGGGATTCAAGCGAACCTTGGAAGACTGTTCTTAGCGCACCGCCACGGACCACTGCGCGTTGCGCTCCCGAGGTCACTACACTACAGCGACTTGTGAGATGGATACACAATCTAAACAGGTATTGTCTCCGCCGGCCACTCCTTCGACAGATTGCGCGTGTTCTGCATCGGGTGCCAACGTGATCACAACCGCCTCCGGCTACGACATGGTCCCAGCGGCAAATGCTGGTGCTCACAGCACGGAACCTGACCATGCGGGTAGTTTCGAGGGACTCCTCATGGCACTGAATCCATACATGGACGACATGCTTTGTCTACCGACATTCCACCTCTTCATGGAACTACCCATCGTACGAATATTATCGCGCTCATGATTTGGTGTTCATACACTAACTCTTGTGTATCGCTAGGAACTGCGTTGCTTGGTTTACGATCAGTACTTCTTAGAAGAAAAGAGTTCGATAGCCTGTCGGAACTGGCCTCACTTGCAATTCTCTCAAGAGTACGAGCGTGCGATCCGACTCAAAAGGAGGACTGCTCCGTTTCTTCCCTCTCTTTGCCTTGTCAACAAGAAGCTGCAAAGTGAACTTCTCCATTGTCTGTTGGAGGCAGCTCATTTCGAATTTTACGATGGTGTAGTCCTTGGTCGTATCCTGGTCTTGTTGGCCGACTGTTCCTTGCGACTCCATCTTACAGTCCGAAGGGCTACAATAGGAAACGTCAATGGACAACGGAAGCGCCTTCTTTTCGGATCTGAAAACAGAGAAAGCCAAACTGATGCTCGTAAACTTGCGCAAGAATGTAACAACCTCTTGTGTTCTGCGATGCCATACTTGCCAGAACTTCGAGAGCTCAATCTCAAACTGTACGCGCCATTACTGTTTGGGGACACACTCTGGAACGGTTTCCAAATTACACCTATATATTCACTTGCAGTGGATAACTATCTATGTGGTTTCGAACTGGATGCCATCCTTGGTTTGGGCAGACTGGAAAAGCTTAGCATCACAGGTATCAGTGGCGATTGCAACAAAACTGACCAGATCAATCGTACCGGCAACATTATCATCGACGATGGTAAGTCGAGGAACCTTACAGCCATCCTGGACCTCTGTGGACAGATCAAACATGGTTTCATTATACAAAAACGCAGCGTGGTGATCAGAGCTCATCTTCGATATGCCGTCAATAAGGGTACAGAGGAAACACTCGGGTGATACAAGGAGATGAAACCGAGCCAGATGGTACTACAGGATAGCGAGACAGGACGACGTGAGACCAAGCGACGTTGATAGACTGGGTTACCAAGGTGCTTGCGCTAACTGCTTTGGGCAAAGCATAGCTAGCCCGAAGTCAGCGAAGTGTCTACGAATACAAACTCTCGAGGTATTTGATGCATCAGACATATACTCTACTCGTTAGATCGTGACAACGCATGCGGAGTCCTCTATGTATACATAGTATCTTGCTGCTGTTAGTGTCAAAGCACGCTCATTGCCATACGTTGCCAAATGAGCAGACCACAAACACTTGAGAAGCGCGGTACTCCATTCAGTTTCTCATCGAATATCAAAACATTACGATGGTAATTGTAGTGCCTCAATCTTTGCACTAGGTTCCCGTCCTTCTATCAGTTCAGACAGAACAAGCCCAGTGCCGGGCGCATGTGATATACCCCAAGCACCATGGCCCGCCGCTATATAGACACCTCCATTCTCTCCGTCTTTGGTCTTGATGCCTCCAAGCTTGTCGTCTGGTATCCGCGATACGATAGGTCGACCGCTGGACGTGACTGGACGGAAGCACTACCTCGAAAGTTAGTATATGTCCAGAATCCTACCCCTAGGATAGTGACGTACCAAGCCTTCTCTCAAGACCTCCATGTCCTTTCCCGGGACATTCATCATCATAGCTTTTGCGCACTGTCTCAACTGGGCAATGGCCTTGTCATTAGCCTTGACATCCGTCGCAACATCTGGTAGCGGTATGCTTGTGCTATTCAGTCCTGCCAGGTACAATTCTCCACCCAGTCTCGCAAACCATTCTGGTGAGAAGCCAAGTGTATCTGTTGCAAAGACTGCGTGGCAGACTTCCTTATCGAGCTCTTCGGGTTTGTGGTGTGGATTTCGGACGAGCAGCGAGTGGCCGGCCAACGAGGAAACAGGGATGCGTGCTTTGGACGACGGGAAGAGGGTGCTGAAAACACGAGGAGACCAGGCGCCAGAAGTGATAACGAGGCGAGCACACGGCACTGTTACAGATTGTCAGTCGCCATGTGAAAGTCGAAGTTGTCGACTGGGATCTTACACTCTGTGTCCGACTCAGTGTCATCGCTCGTTGAGATCCTCAAGCCACATAAGACGTCGTCGGCGTCTTTGATGATTGCTGTCGCCCTCGCAGGCTGGTGTATTCGTACTCCCCTTTCCTTGACCTCTTTAAGCAGCCATTGGCAGAATCTTAAGGGATCGATCTGTGCCGTAGTACCATCCCGACTGATGACCTCCATGATGCCTTCCTGTGTACGCCGAAGCCATTCCGGGCCGGCAGCCTGCTCTTCCCAGGGCTTGTTGTGGTTCGCTAGCTGTGCTCTGCTCGTCCCATTCTCAAGCCAGTCCTCGCCGCTGCCGCCGATGGCTGACTCGCTGTCTTGCGAAAGGGAGATGCCAGTCGACTGCGAGTAACCCCATGTTGAGCGTCCAGAGTGCGCATTGGCAAGATCGGCGTGAAGCTTGAAGGACAACGCGCCAAGCGAAGATACCGAGGGGGCGAACCCTGATTTGTAGTCAGATAATGCGATCAGAATATAGATGACGCGCCACGCCCATCCCAGACGCGACGGAAGCTTCCCATACGTACAGTCAGCACTGAGGAACCCCGCAGCAAGGCCAGACGCGCATTGGAACAACTCCGGACTCGAATCAACCAAGTGAATTGTCTTTGGGTCTGTCGCTCCACTCTCTGTGAGGTAGTACGCGGTACACAAGCCGATGATACCGCAGCCCAGGATGGCAATGTCGTTGGTGTTTTCCCCGCAGGAACTATAGTCTACACCTGGCATACTGAACTTCACGCCTGGCAAATCGAGGGACAACGTAACAGCGAAACGAACAAGTCGACGTCTCCATGCCCGAGCCGCCCGCCGCCAGACCTTTAAAGGTGCCAATAACTCCTCTTTGTCTAGGCTGGCGCACAAACGCCGTCTCACATCACAGCATAATCATCATGTGTTGGATCATGTTCCTATCCACCGCCGACGCAAAACATCGTACGAGCTGTTCCGCATACCTTTGCTGATCCACTCCGCACCCTAGTCGACGTCCCAAACTCGGGTAAGTAGCATGACCGACATGGCCTGATTTTCTCCAGAACACCCTCTGGAGCCCGGCCTTCCGCCGCTTTAGATTACCGCTGGTCCGACTAACTGATGCAAGACTCGGATCATTTGCACACTTTGACGTCCATTGTACGTCCGGCTATTGGATGCCATCGTATCATCACGAGAGTTAAGGAACGCGAAACCCCTGCATCGCATATATGAGACAAGCAAGAAGACGCGTACATTGAAGAGCTTGTGTGGTGCATTGCTAGCTATAGAGACTCTATTGATGGAATGATGCTGTTTTCTACGAATGATGCCGCATGTATCCTTCCTGTTCTGTCATCCTCACACTTTTTACGGCCCGACCCAGCGATCCTGACCGACCTTGCATATTGACCCGCGTACTTGGTGATCTATGCATTGCCACGAGGATTGAGCATACCCTGGACAGGCTTGTAGTTCTTGAAATGGCTTTCGGGTTGCTCATGCGCCTCGGAGATTGCTGCGTCACCCACGATAGCCTGTCCAAGAAAGTCTGTATCAAGACCGTGACGATAGGTTTTCTCCCACAGCCTGCGAATGATTGTGGGAGCTTCATTCTCATGGTCTGAGAATGCTCCAGGGATGCTTGTGGAAGACACGTCTGCCATCTCAGTCGCATCCGTCACAGGCCGTAAGCTGGATCCCGCTCCGTAGCCCGAGCCATCGTAGAGTCCTGTATGCTGGCCCCAGGTGCTATCGTGCTTCCCCATCTCTGTCGGGCTGTGGAGGTGGCTCTGCACAACCATGGCATTGTCCTCGTCCAGAGCAATATCTAGATATGCTGGAAGTTTTCCCGCTGCAAACGCCTTGTCAAGCTTATCATCAGATATAAAAACCATCCTACAAGGTGCATATACGCAGTCAGTGTGTTTCTCAGATGCAATTCATTCAGGAACATTTCGTACCCATTTTCCCGAACGATGGAGCCAAGTTCCGACACTAATCTGTCTGCTTGAGGACCAACAAGCTTGAACGGTATCTCATTATCACATTGAGCGTTGTCGTCGCCACCCTCCGAGTCGGAAGCGAGCAGCTTGATCTTGAGTCGACATCTCCCATCTGCTCGACGATAGGTCCTTGCATGATAACCCTTATCGAGTATGACTTTTGCCTGCTTTTCTACCATCTTGTTTACATCTGCTGCATTCAGTGCTTTGTTGGTGGCACTGCCTCGTGTGCAAACTTGCTCGTCGTCTGTCTTGTGGGTCGATGAATCTTCCATACGATGTACACCAGAAGTCTCTTCACGGGCTGGTGATTGTCGTGACTCTTCAGTGTTATTGATTTTCGTGAGGGACTCGTCTGGAACCAGATGGTTGAGCTCTAAATCGTCGTGATTGACAACGGGTTCATCGAGGTAGATTCCAGCACCATGAAGACTATCAGAGAGAGCACTCTTTGTTGATGCCGTACTCTTCATCGTTTCTTGATCTGGGTTATATGCTAGGATGGACGTTGGCGAAGGGGTGCTCCCAGTCTGGTCCAGCTCCAAGATTCTCTGGATGGGAGCTGGTGAAAGCGGTACAGTTCCAAAAGGAATGAGCGATAAATCGACAGATGATTGCAGATTCCGTTTCTCAGATGTCGGAACAGGCACGGGCGAGGAGTGATGAACCCTCAAGCTTGAGGTGATAGAGTCTTTGCGGTCGAGATCGAATATTGTTTTGTCAGGGGGTGATTCCTCGAAGTCGAGTACGAGTGATGAATTAAGGCGGTGTTTGGAAGTATAAGGACCCTGTAAAACACAACTTCAGTAGATGTTTCGCCACAATTTGAAGGGACACTTACGTCGGCCGGCGGTGATGCAGGGGTGTCGAGCTGCTTGGTCTTGGTAGGCGACCGCAGACTTCGTAATGAGCTAATGCTCCGCAGCTTTTGCTTTCGCAACGACCCCATTAGACCTTTTCGTACAGGTGATCCGTCACTTGCATCGTGTACGGTGGAGTTTGCTCCTGGTGAATATGGATTCGGAGTCTCATAAATTGGTGCATCGTTTTCATTCCGCTTAGGAGAACGTGAATGAATCCTTGAGATAATTAGCATGGCAGGAACAGGGTAGAAAAGACCGTCGCTCACGGAGCACCGCTCATCCGAGTGAATACATCCGAAACGCTCTTCTTGGCCTTGATGAGGCGATCGAGAGGCATGATGACTTTTCGTTGCTACCTTGGTTATACACTGTAGGCTCGAGAGTGTGCTAAAGACTACGAAATCGATTGAACGGTTGACGCCACGAGCAAGTACAAGCGTATGGCACTTGAGTCCGAGGCTCTTGACCCTAAGCTATGTTTGTTGATATACAGGTCAGGTCCTGCCAAGCTGACTTTACGTGACATTGGCTGGTAGTTTGCAAGAGCATTGTGATGTGCTCGGCAGGAACAACTCGTCAGCAGATTGAGGAAGTAAGAACCAAATCTCAGGATACATAGGATAGCGATGTAACATGCTGAGTTTGATCGCATGTCCAGAGATAATCATTGTGTATTGACGTATGGCGTATGCATGTATCGGAGCGCTCACCCAGTCTCGCTGATGACGAATGCATATCTTCAGTGAGGCGTGCAAGAATACATGCGGCTGAATCTGAGAAGGCGTGAATGGACAACGCTTGGCTCAAGCGGTGCACGTGATTGGGTCAGCCCGTGCACCAGACCCTTGCTTAGCTCCTTCACGTCGCGAACGTTAGCAGTCGTGGAGTGCAAGCGCATCATCAACTTTCAACGCCGCCCTTCACCCAATTTATATTCGAGTATCCGAGTAGAAGTCGCCCATACGCACGCCACACTCATCGTCGCCAGCCTCAGACGCGCCACACTAGCATCGTTCTCGACTAGCCACAATGGCGCGTGGTCGCCCTTCTCGAGCTGCAGCGCGTCGCAGTACGCCTGTTCGCAGCGCAACACCTCAGCAGGACAGTGACGAGGAAATGGTAGATGCTCCAGAATCGCGCGCCGACACACCCAAGGAAGAGGAAGAAGATGCCGACTCAGCAGTTCAAGGAAGCGACGAGGAAGCGGCACCCTCTGAGCGCTCGCCCTCTCCAGCAGTCATCCAGCCATTTCCCCGCAAGAAGCGTCTTGGTCGCCCTCCTAAGAACAGACCACCAGACTGGAACGTTGTCGAACCCGACAACTCTGAAAGCGGTACACCCGTTAAGCGCAAGCGGGGACGGCCGTCAGGCGGAGGTCGAGGACGGCCACCAAAAGGAGGGCCATCGCACACGACGCGCGTCCCCATTGACAAGGAGGGCAACATGATGGATGTAGTCAATGATGAGGTCGACTTACCGGAAGACGAGGAAGGCGAGCAGAAGGTCGACAAACTCGGCAACCTTATGGGCGGACGAGACTACCGTGTGCGCATATTCACTATCAAGGGCAGAGGCGACAGACAGTACATGCTGTCGACAGAACCAGCCCGTTGTTGTGGATTCAGGGATAGTTATCTGTTCTTCACAAAACACATGAAGCTCTACAAAATCATCATCGACGATACCGAGAAGAGGGACTTGATCGACCGCGACATCATCCCACACTCATACAAGGGTCGTGCTATTGGTGTCGTCACAGCCAGATCCGTCTTCCGTGAGTTTGGCGCACGCATCATCATCGGAGGTAAGAGGATCATCGACGATTACTATGTTACTGCAGCAAAGGAAAGCGGCGCAGTCGAAGGGGAAATTGCAGACCCCAACGACAGGCTACCGCCTCCTGGGGAGCCATACAACAAGAACCAATACGTCGCTTGGCATGGTGCCAGTAGTGTGTACCATACTGGTGTGCCTAGTGTGCCAACCGCTAATGGCAAGCCTGTGCCTGGGAAGCGGAAGGTCAACATAACCTCTGCTAACTGGCAGTTCGAGCATGGACGAGCTGCAAGGTAAGCAAAACTTCCCTTTTATCAACCTATAATCAGCAAAGCTAACTTATCCCAGTCGATTCAACTCAAACCTCTCTAAGCTACGGAAAGCAAACCTCACTGGTGTCTACGATCCACACACCAACCTGATGTGCTATCCAAAGGTCACACAACCTACACATGCACGATGGGAAGAGGTCTCAGCCGAAGAAACCGACGTGCCTCCGCTGGTCCGTCGCAAATACCTCGTGGTCGACTCTGTTTTCCAACAGCCTCCTTTCGCCGGGCTAGGTATACCCGGACCCGACGGTGACTTCGTTGATGTTGGCACCAATGGCCTACCAGTCTTGGACGACGAAGACAGGCTAAAAATGAAGCCCGAAGAACTTGAAGCTCTTGAGCAGGTCAAGGCTGAGGAACAAGAGTGGCGTAGTCAATGGGGTGGGGAGAGCACTGATGGTGCAAGAGTGAGACCGAAGATAGGCTTTGTGGGCGTCCCGGTTTGAGACATCCAAACCAGACTGGAATCCAGGAACCTATTTACTCATATGCTGTCTTAGATACCGGTACTGTTTCCAGCACGGCGTGATTTGGCGTACGATATATCAACAGGTCCCGTATTCAAGAAAGAGGATCCAACTAGGTACATCTCGCCATATTTTTGCGATATCTGAATGAAGCGCCGCATGGACACGGCTCCGAGTCATTCATAATACACAGTTTACTGCTCTTCTACATTAATGTCTTGGCCATGATCTTACGACCCTTTGCATCTCGTACCTTGACAATTCACGTCTATCCGCTGTTCGTTTGGCGCGCTACGTACATGTCGTTGATGAATGGCGACAAGGCCGAGCGCCACGTGCTTCTTGGTCGCAACACACACACTGGCACGATGATAGCCTAGTACAGGATCGTTTAATGCCTTGATTACAGCGCTTCCTCTGAATAATGCATCGCCTCTGTACAGGGAGAAAGAGTGCATGGACGAATGTACGGACCAGAAAACATATTTTGAGATAAAACATCTCAATAAGCGGGTCCCTGCCGCGCACTGGAATTATCTCAAAACGTCATTGACACAAGATACTGCCTTTTTTCTTCATGACCAACGCAATACTGCATTCTGGTCGCCACATCAGGGCTGCTGAGTCTCCTTCAGCAGCATACAGGTGCTCTCTCGGTGCCTGTGTCTGACGTGTAGATATCGCACCAGCATTCCAAACTACAACCCCATTCTCGATATTGTCGTCGATGTTCTTTCCCCTGGATTGCAATGCGTCCGGCTACTGGTTCAAAACGGATATGAACCTCTATGCTGCTTGCTACATGTAACACCTTTCTAAGTGCTAAATTCCTGTAACAAGATGTCGGAGATGGATCATCTGTAATCACAATGTGAAGTTCAATTGGTAAACGAAGCTCTGATGATGATGATGCTCAGAGTGGACGCATGTGGGGTTGTGCTGATACCTTGCGATATCACTAGTCTTAGAGACGCTTGTGATAGCCCACTTTCTATATGAGTGCCTTGAATAGTGAGTGGCAGCGCACGTCCAGCAGCGATCTTATTGTTACGAGTCTGGCACCAAATTTGGCTTTGCTTCGGCTCACAACACCATTTCAACAAAGATGCTCGTTTCCTCACAAAGCCGTTCGGGCACTTCCATTGCATGACGTTTGAGCAGACGGCAGCATTCTCGTCACGATGGTAATGTGGTCTTAAGACTGCTGCGTAAGCGGCAACGATTGCTTCGTAGACGTCGTCGTAACGTTCCCCTATCCTTTATTGGATCACCACGCACCAGCTCTACCAGCATCGGCCCGCACTGACATGTTGTTCTGCGAAGAAGAGGGCACATCTGGTCCGCTGGAGTATTGGTAAGAGCCACATGCTCTCCTGAGAAGCCCGTTAGAGGATAGCCGGTAGGCGGCAGTATTACTGATGTAGATCTTGTGTACTGAGTCAAGAATTTCGGTGGTAAGATCTAGATCGCTGTACTGTAGGCGGCTCCGATGCGATAGGTCCGAATACTGGTGCCTGAAACGGTGACGAGTCGGTTGGTGGACCAGAGTGCGATGCCCACGACAAAGAACGCATGAGACGCTAGCCCACTGTTACGCACGCCATCTTTATCCAAGACCAAATTCGTGCGCACCCAGTCCATTGCGTGGCGGCTGCGGAAGATAGGATGACAAGAGAACGACAAGGCAAAAGTAATTTCGGTACCGCAGGATTGTGAGAGCTGATCAATGAACCACCGGCTTGTTATTTTCTTACTACCGGAAAGCCTCCGTCTCACATGCTCGTAAAGCTTGAGTGGAAACTCGCAGAAACTCACCAGGGACCCTTTGCTCCAAAAGAGCCGGAGGCAAAGGGACTCGTGTGACGCTTCGGTTTTGAGCAGCAATAAAGGAAGGAAGCTAAGGCTAAGCTTCTATGCGGCTTCCCTGGTGTTTCCACGAACAAAGGAAGTCTACCCCAGGTTGCGCAAATCTTCCGGCAACAGGCCGCACTATGGAAGTCACGATAGATTGCAAGGTTGTGTGGGGATATGAAGATGTGTGGGTGGAATAGTTAGCGACCCGGCAAAATAGATTGGAACTATGGGGTGCAGATGCTTCGAGAAGGAACGGCTTCGGACCTTCATCTACGCCAGCCGTGCCTGAAGTATACGAGCATATTGAGGGCAATAATTGGGGGGTGTGCGTGACTGTGAAGTTGATCCGGAGGGGACTGGATGCAGCGCGGCGTTGGGGCGTATTGGGTTTGGCTGACGGCATCTTACGACATGCTACATTGAATTTGTTTCGTGTCGCCACTGAGGTGCACCGAGTGATACAGGTGGGTCGAGCATGAGAAGGCTAATACCAGCTCGTGCTACGCCTCGATTGCACGTCGGAGTTGGATAAGCCCGTTTACGCCTCCGTCAGAAGCAAGAGAGACGGAAGCCTGGGACAGCGGCCCCGTCGTCTGATGGTGGTAGAAGCGGCACATGCAAGCAGGAATCAAGTCCGGCAGGTTGTAGGACGAAGACTGCAACGACGGTCCCCTGACTTGGGTAGTGAAACGACGGGGCGGGCGGCTGAGTTCCTGACTTCCTAGCGTAGGGGGCGTGTATCGGAGGGTGGGCTCAATTAGCGTAGCCCCGATGCGGGCAAGCGCACTAGGGGTCCATGGCTGCGCTTGGCAGCTGCCTATTAAAGTGTCCGTGAATGCCACCTGTCCTCTTCGCCGCACAGCCCGGGTCCTAGTGATAATCACCCACTATGCCCACTCATAGCCCCATCAACTGTCGACTTCACCATGGCTCAGTACACCTTCGATTCTAGTCTATTTTCCCAGACCATGAACAACTCGGCCATGACTTCCACGCCTCTCCCCCCACCATCCGTTGAGGCCATGCCTACTACCATCAAGATGGAGATGATTGAAAACTACGACCACTCACCCTCACCCGCACATCACTCGTCCAACTCGTCGGAAGCATCACACACACCTGCACCCGAGAGCAATGGCTCCAAGCCCGTGAAGAAGCGCAAGTCGTGGGGCCAGGTGCTCCCCGAACCCAAAACCAGCCTACCCCCACGGAAGCGGGCCAAGACCGAGGACGAGAAGGAGCAACGGCGGATAGAACGCGTAAAGCGCAACCGCCTCGCCGCCCACAACTCGCGCGAACGCAAACGACAAGAATACGAAGTTCTACAGACCGAGAAGGACGAGCTCGAGGCCAACATGCAGGCCTACAAACAAAAGATGGCCGAGATGGAGGCCGAGCTTAGATATTACCGCTCCAAGTACCCTGGCGAAGCACCCCAACAGGTCTTCGACTTAGCTACACCACCCAGTGACACCTTCGACACCATCTGCCCCGCGCAGATCCCAACATCCTTCCCCAGCCCTCCCGAGTCCATGGACTCGATGGACTCACCCCGTGACTCATCCTGTCAACCCGAGACACCCCCGTCAAGCTTTGAGGCTTCTCCCGAATTCGACTCGACACAATATCCTGCCGCGATATTGTGCGACCTGCCGTGTCAGTCGACTTCGGGAACCTCTCTACGGGCGATCTGGGCCTACCTTTCTCTGTTCAACCTTACGCTCCAGTCGATGAGAAGTCTGTCGTCATGGAAAACTTCTTCGACTTCGAGCCCTTCCCAAAGTGCAGTCCAACAACGACTGCGCCAATGGAGCCCGCTTTTAGCATGGTCGACTCTTCTTCAGGCGATGTCTTCGGTCCAACACCCTTCGACCACAGCTCTTTCTCAAACTCTTATGCCTTTCTTGACGGCTTTGATGCAAAGTTCAACGACTTGCAGAGTGCCTCTGGCGCAACTTCGGTTAGCGACGAGGCCCTCGCAGCGGGACAACTTTAGCACTATCGCTGTCGCGAAATCCACCAAGGGGGCGAAGAAGCAAGCTGAGTTGGTGGATGGTGGCTGTGGTTCACGACTGATGAGGTCTTCTAGGCCTAAGCAATTGGGTAGGCGTAAGGTGCGATCATTGAGGTTAACGGGGGCACTTGGTTGGGAAAACATGGGGTGTGGCATCACTACCGGGCGTGGGACGGCGTTCTGAGCGTGTACACTCTTGTAGCAACAGTTTCGTTTAGACTTGGTAACCTTTCTGGATATTGTTTCCTTGATGGGATATATGGCGGACAAGATACACCAAGGGCTGGTGCCTTTATCTGGCCAAATACCATGATCTACTATTCATTCACTCTTCTTCCTTTGCATCGTGATGTCTTCTCATTGACTTGGATGCTCGACCTTCTCAACGTGCTTTTTGTTGAGTACCCACTGCCACTCCAGTGTGTCACCGATTCTCCACGATTCTCCCCCCTTCCAACGCTAACCATCCCACCTCCACTTCGGACTCCGGCTCAGCTGAGGCGAGACACACTTCGCATGCAGGCTGACGCCAACAACCTCCACTCAAACTACCAGCCCAGTTGACACCAACTTATTCTAGGTTGTCGGATGACGTGACCAGGCACTCGTGAAAGTCTATTCATAGGCTGCTGCGGAGTTCGAACATCCGCAATACGAAGCAGTCGTAAACTTGTACTGCTCAGCTCATCCGTGTCGGGACCCATACAAAGGAATCGGTCTTTGCAATGTGCGCGGGGCTTATCAGTTTTCGCTTAACCACATGAAAAGATCGGCCTGAATTGCTCAACACCATTTTGGCGTCGCAGGGCATTGCATGCAAAACAACAGTACACCGCACGACATGTACACCGCTTTGCCCCACAAACACCGGATCTAGAACATATTGCTTTAGGATGGCATTTTACATTTGTTGCTTTCATTCGTTACAGTCGTAGCTATCTGGGCCCTTGCATGCGCAATGCAATGCAACGCAACTACCGATGTCACTCGGAGTCCGTCGTACTGTAGATGTTACTCCTTTGCCTGCTAGCCAGCCATATCTATCGGCTGTGGCAACACGCCCTTGCATGCATCGGAATTTCTTCCTAGATTCCGAGCTTTGCACTACCCTGATAGCTTATTCGGTGACCTGCTTATTTGGTGGCCTGGTCGACGGGGGCAGGCTTGTTTGAGTCGGTAGCTGCTTTGCCTTGGCCGGTGTGGCCTGCCTTTGGTGCGTCGCCGGCGCCAGAGGCGTTCATGCCTTCGATAGCTATCTCATGTTAGTATTTGCTTTCCTCTCAAAACATTCCTTTTCCTTCTTTGCTGTCATTTGAGGAGCAGGAGCAACGAAGAGGGGTAGGTGGGGCAAACGAGTCGTACCTTCGCCCTTCTCAATCTCTGGCATGGGAGCGACATTGTTCTTTGTGTGCTGGAGAGTTGCCTGCCATATGGTCAGAGCCGAGCTTTTCGTAAGAAGTTGTAGCAGACGAGGGTACTTACGTCTCCAGAAGCACCGTGAACTGCGTCCTGGCCGACCTCAATGGGACCGTTGTCTGAAGATCCGTCTCCGTTGCGAGGCATGATGAAATGTAAGTATGGGTTCGGTGGTGTGATAGTCTGATGGGATTTTAGGGAAGAGGAAAGGAAGATGTGTTGATATGAGGGGTAGAAGTTCCTGTCGTGTTCAATTTCTATCATCTCGATGATGTATTTTGCTGTGATGTCATGGTGGAGAAGGGGTACCTGCAGAGCGGGTCATGCTCACGTACAACACTGTTACTAACGATCATCACGAATTCTATCTTATTTCATACTTATGTAATTCAGTCGAGCGCCTGACCTCTTCTAGTCTTTCTTGTGCTGTGATATATGGTCAGTTACAGGTTGGCGAATCGAGGAGGCGTGTCGTGGCATCCTGAAAAGCCTCTAATTCGACGATGCGATAGAGAAAGATATACATAATATCCATCTGGGGCTTTCCAATCCCTTTTGGTATCATTGACTATCAATCATGACCGAGAATATGCAATGGCAGTAAAAAGACAACCTGAAAATTCAATCTGCATGCCGCTTTTGTCAGAGTCCCAGCGTCAGCTGTGAACAAGAGTATATACATCATGCTAAACTAAGTGCACATGCGAAAGACTCATCGCGCACTTCGAACCCATCCTACTACACCGACACTGTATCCCACTAATCCGCCCACCCTTTCGCGTCCTCTCTTCGCCTCCTCCTGCCACTTCCTTAGCTCGCCTACTAGGTCAGAGTCTTTGACAACAATATCTCCATGGAGTCGCAGAAATACGCTCATCCAAGCTTGTACAAGCTCGTAGTCTCGGCCTTCTTGAAGTCTCGCGGTCAACGCTTCGATGAACGTTCGCAGCTCTGTGTATGGCTCCGTTGTATCAAGAGTGCGAATTGCAATATCCGCTGCCGAAGGCGGGAGTGAAGAGAGGTGAGTTAGGAGAGGAGTGTAGTCAGCAGTTTCGGTCGCATGTACAAGGTGACGGCTGAAGACATCAGTAGATGTGGCGGCGCTAGAGCGCGAAGCAAGCGCAGAGCTGGAGATGCGAGACTTCGGATCTTGATCGAGTGGCGCGAGAGCATGGTCTTCTGCTCCCGAGACCTGGTTTTGACCAAGTGACGGGAGGAAGAAGGGGGCCTTTTCTGGCGCTTTCGGAGCCTCTTTGGGCTTGTTGCGGGCACGGATAACGTCAAGGTGTAAGAGGGTTTGCCAGCGGGACTTCGGAACCAAGCTCAGTGTTGTGATCTTGTCGCTGAGTTGGTCCATGACCGGAACAGTAACTTCATCCTGATCCTCATCCTCCGCCTGCTCTTCGGTGGCAGCTTCAACGATAGCGACACCGCCTTCGCCAGATGCTGTTGGCGCGCTGACCTCGGCAATGTCGTCCTCTGTTATTTGACGGGTTGATACATGCGTGAAGAGTGTTCGGTTTGTCCAGATATGCACACCTACTTCGCCGTCTAGGCCGGTGGCAAGGAACTCACCCGAAGGTGAGAATGCCACGGTGTTGCACTTTTTGGGCAGCTTCATAGCATCAATGAGATGGCCGGTTGGTAAGTCCCAAACTCTGACGGTGGAGTCTGAGGCAGCAGAAATGATCCATCGGCCGTCACTCGAAAAGGTGTAATCGAGGGTTTGCAGTGCAACATGGGATTGGGATGCCCATAGTTCTCGAATAAGTTTCTTGGTTGTGATGTCCAATACGCGGATCGAGCCATCGTCACAGCTTAGTGCTATCAGATCACTGTTCCGGTGGTAGCGCAGACCATTGATCTTCGTCATAGGGTACCAATCAATCTCGTGAAGTAGAATGCCCGTAGCAAAATCCCAGAACTACAATATGCGTCAGTCGCTGGTGGGTGAGAAAGACGGACGTTTGACTTACCTTGATTTTGCCATCGTCGGAACAACTTAAAAGCGTGCGATTGAGAGCGTCTACAGCGAGACCAGTGATGGCTCCTTTGTGCTTGCCTTCTCCCTTTGCAAACTTTCGAGGAGCATCATCCGCAAACTCCAGAGCCTCTTCGGCCTGCAATTGTCGAAGTTTGTGCTGTTTTGCTTCCACTGGAGTGAGTCGAGCTGGGAACCTGCGTCGGAATTGGCCAGATTGAAGGTTGTACATATCAATGGAGCCACCTGCAGATCCGATCACGGCAAATGTGCCGCAAGACGAGATTGCAACACTCTTGACTTCTGTACCATCGCCTGTGTCGAAAGCCCATCGACCGGCCCGTTTACGACCCCAGAACCAGGTTCTTGCAGTCTTGTCACCAGCGTGCCCTGTGACGATGCTTTCCCATCCAGTCATGTTAACTTCTATAGCTTTCTTATCCTGCCCCTTGACCTTGGATGAGTTGTTCCATATACCCGCTACGCCAGGCATCGCACCCATGCCACCGTCGCGATTGAGAGAACAAGCCATGCAGGTGATTGCTGGAGCTTTCAAATCTTCCAACTTGACATGGTGTTTGGACGCTTCGAAATTTCCATTGAGCAGCCCCATCTTCTTTGCTTTCCTCTGGATAGCACCCTGGCTAAGCTCTGTGCTTTGTCCATCTCGTCGCAAGCTCCAGCCCCAGAGACTCCGGTCTTTGCTAGCGCTGAGAAGCCATTTGCCGACATCATCAGAGCCGTCCGAGTTGGAGGGAAGGAAGCGGAGAGTTGAGACTGGTGCAGCATGACCGCCACGAGAATGCAGAATGCGCGGTAGGGGTGAAAAGGGTGTTTCGTCGAAAATCCAGCTCTTCAACGAGTTGTCCAAGCCACTCGATACAATGACCGCCTGTCCCGCGAGGAATTCAATCTTACTGATACCACCACCGACACCTCCGCTCGCAGATGGAGGCGGCCCATGAGCCCCTCGGAGGGTACCAGTTTTACGACCACCCTTGTTGAGGTCCCAGAAGGTGATGTCGCCGCTTTCATGACTAGCTGTTGCCATGACACCGTCTTCGCGACCATCGTCGCCGGCACCCAGTCCGTCGGTCCTGAAGGAGATGGAAGTCACTGAGGGTTTCCGCGAGCCACCCGTGTTCAGGCGCATAATCTCTTTGTCTGCACGGATATCGTGTATCGTGATTGGACCTGATTGGTATGCGATAGCGAGGAGCGACAAAGCGGGCGTCGGCTGTAGTGCAGTTACAGCGCCAAAGTCTGCTGCTGGTGGAAGGAGTGTGTAAAGCAGCTTTCCGGTGCTGATGTTCCAAATCTCAACAGACCCATCGGCTCGGCCCACGAATATCTTGTTCAAGTAGGTAGGCATGTTGCAGATGCAGCCAGAGAGCGCACTGGAAGAGGCGCCCTGTAGGGTCGTGTAGTGCTCCAAGGTAGCTGTCCTCCAGATCTCGATTTCGGTCTTGCCACATCCTACAATCCATTCTCCCAGGACTACTAGCCTTGTGATGCGCTGTATGCCGCCGCGTGGTAGCTCCAACTCTGCAGTCTTTTTTCCGCGCTGGAACACCCACACGCCAGC